TCATACAACACAGTGTCCATACATATTGAATGAATCAAATTGAATGTCGATAGTAAAATAATTGAAAAATGATTGTCCAACTCGCTCCCATTTGTGGTCCATACAAAATTTGAGAAGGAAAGATGTGATTGGCTTGTTAATTTCTTTTTCATGTTTGGTTTGAGGATATGGCACTATTCATTCCTTCATCCCAAAGAGTTCAAACAGCTTACTGTTGATCTTTAAGAATAGGAGGAATACTTAAAAATTCTTCATATTGCTATTGAAATAGCAACAGTCACTATGTGAGATGGGTGGCAATACAAATATGAATAAATAAACTTGAACCTGTTGTTTATAACTGTGCTGTTGCAAACTATTAATAATTGATATATAACATGCACATATTTTCAAAACTACTATATGCAATTGTAACTGCTGAATACCTGATGTTTAAGGAACCTCCTTCATAAGCACTATTGACTGTTACTAATAAATTATGTAGGTTCAAAATCTTCAAAAATATTCTCATAACTCTAATAACATGGAGTCAGATGTATATCTTTTCATTACACAAAACATGAGTTGCAATATTTATGCTACTGTCATGAGAGCAAACCACTACTGAAATACCATTTGCCTTTCAACCATTCTAAGGAAGGGGAACATTATACTATCTCCCTTTGAATCTGAATATGGATTGATGTCAGTGGGTTTATAGCTCTTTCTAGACTCATGATCTTTAATTATCTTTTTTCTTCCTGAGACTCACATATATCTTTTTGGATTGGGGCATATTTTAATTTTACAAGCCTGCTCATGAAAAGCAAGACTTGAAGGGTAGAAATTAATTTATAATTTTTAAAAGGGAAGGCCCATTCAAATTCACATCTGACTGTATCTGCACTAACTGGACCATCAAATTCAAATTACCCCCTTTAGGGAACTGAACATTTTGGGACTTAACATACTTTTTCTAGTAAAAGTATGTGGTTCTATGAGTAAAAACTTGATATTTTCTTAGGAAAAGGGCTAGAAAAATAGTGTTTCTCAACAGATAAAATTCAAAGCCAAACAAAACTACAAGGCAATTAAATGGATTCACAACTCTCTTGAAAACTGCCTTCAAAGAGGGTTCATCAATAATTCCACATCAAATCAATGGCAGGTATTTACTGGCTTGAATAATCCATTAGAAAAATAATTTTAAAAACCATAATGCTGTCTCCTCCCCTCTCCCATCGTTGCCCTTTTGGCCACCCTACATTCCACTGATTCAGCTTGCCCTCATTCCCTCAGCAGACCTTCACCATCTTCTTCTCCTGCTAGTGACAAGATGTGCTGGCCTGCCCTTCTTCCTGAATCTCTATATAGCCTTGTCCAAATCATCAAAAAGTCAACCTGAAAGTCACCCTAGACCTATTTCTTTGATGTTTCTTTTATACATCTATGAATACACTGGCTTGCAGGAAGCTTGCTATCATTCAATTTTCAGAAACACGTCAGTCAGAAATATGTTATTATAATATTTAATAAGAAAAATGAATATAAAATAATATAAAATTATTAAGAGAATCCCTTCATCTGACATTGTGCCACTATGCAACAAAGTGCTATCATCCTGATAAAGCTGGCTCAGAAACCTACAAATTTTGCCAGGCGTGCAGAAACTGAAGACAGAGACAATTAATTAGAGTGTCATCTTCACATTTTACTGGGAACACTTTTTTCAGAAAAGAAAGCTTTATCGATAAAAAGAGCAAGAAATAGTCAGGAATATTATTGAATAACTGCCCCTAAAAGAAAGAAGGCAGCAGAAGAAAAAATGCCTGCTGATGTTTCAATAGATCGAATATATTTCATGGAAAAAGAGAGAATACCTTTATATAGTGTATTGATATTATACATCTTCAAGATCTGGTGTGATGTAACAATTTGAAGATTATATAAAGTATTAAATAAAAAGAACAATGTGTATAGTAACCAAAGAATAAAATATGGAATACAGCCTTCAATTTAGCACCTTAGAAAATTTTCCCTTAAAAAAAAAAAACCTACACAAATGCTTAGGTTGCATATTATTCTAAATAACAAGGTCATTATATAAATAGCAACCATAACGATGCAATTTATCACATGCTGATAACAAATTCAGCAAAAAATGACTGCTTGGATACAATATGGAATACAGCCATATTGAATTAAGAGGTGAATCAGAATTATGTATAAGGGGAAGAAAAAAATATAGGAAGATGAAACAAATGAAGATTACAATCTCATCTTCATATAAACTATGACAAAGTATTGAGTCCTTATAATATGAAGGAAGGAACACTCTACAAAAAAAAAAAGGAGATCAGAATTCATTGCCAGTTGATTTTTTTTTTTAATAGAAAAGCACATCACAGAAAACGGCATTTTTAACTTCAGTCTTCCCTTCCACATGTAGTAACTCCGCTATTAATAGTCCAAGCAAGGATTATTTATTGACCATCTTTATCACTGCAAAATATAAACGGGCAAAAAAAGCTTAAGAATGTTCCCCCCCCCCTTTTTTTTACCCATTCCTTCGTTTTCATCACACACCAAGTATCTGAATGTTATTTTATTCTATTTGAAATGCATTGCACCATGAAATGCGGATCATTTTTGCTGCTGACCGACAACTGTTGCTTTAGCCCAGTGTTTTTCAACCTTGGTAACTTGTAGAAGTCTGGACTTCAGCTCCCAGAATATCCCAGAATATCTAGGGCGAGTTCCAGGAGTTGGAAATCTACATATGTTATATGTTGCCAAGATTCAAAAATACTGAACCAGAAGCGCTCTTGGAGTCACAGAAGCGAGGACACCGGCGGAGATTCCTTCTTCGCGACCTCGGACCCTGCTTCGCCGCAGCAAAGAGAGCGCTTCTCCGGCAATGGATTCCCCCCGCCTCCTTTCTCTTCCGAGCCTTCCCCCTCTCCACGCCGGGAAAATCCGTCACGCAGTGGAAGGTAGGTACCGCAAGTCTCAGCTTTTCATGCATAGACAGCAATCACTGCAGCAATTCAAGACATTTCTAGCGCTACGGAGGTGACGTTGAAGAAAGGGCGGGCTCCGTCGGAATCATAGAGATAAAAATATAGCCATGCCTTCCTGCTTTTTCTTCAAGGAAAATGAACCTTTGGAACAACCGTGACGTGGATGACTGAGAATGTCTACAGACTTTTAGCTATGGAATTTGGGATGAACGCTCTTCAAATGGTGTGAGAGTATGAATGGATTTCCAGAAAAATTGTAAAGGAACCATTAGCACTACTCAAGTGAGGACACAGATAAACCTCCAAGTACTTCACCCTCTAAAAGGATGCAAATGACCAAGGAATATAAATCCTTCCATTGCCCACCATCCAGTCAGAACTGAAGAAGCTTCTTGGATAAGAAGTGAAACATCTTCAAAGAAAAAAGAAAATCCAGTTGCCTCCTGAAAAAGCACCTTTGGGACAATGGCCAGAAATGTAAATTCTTTCCTAGAGTAAAAGGTGCCAAAGATGAGGCTCAAGTCTTCACTATCTCTCAGGTAGACTACTGCAATTCCTGTTATATGGGGCTGTTCTTGAAGGTTACTCAGAAGTTGCTGCAGGCTCAATGCCGCTGCCCATCTCCTTTTCTTTGGGAAGGTATTTGGAGAAAGAAGGATTTCCTTAAAGTTGCACTAGTTTTTATTTAACAATATTTTGTTTAAAATGGTAAATTGTTTTGTCCTGATTTTGACTTGGCTTAATAAGTTTCATACACTGTAAGCTATCTAAATTTGCTGGAATAGGCAGACAGAAGTAACTAAATGAGTATGTTTTTGTCAATCCCTTAATACCCACACAGGGAAGAAGAAAAGCCATCTCTTAATTAAACAAAGTCAATATAATTCACCAATCACCCATAATTAGAGATAGTCAATGCCATTAAAGAAAAATCCTGCATAGAAACAGGTTTCCTTAGAACTAGTATATCTTATTACATCAATATAGCTCTTCCAGTGGGACTCCAATGGATTGGCTGCAAAATTCTATAGAACCATTTATTTAGATATATAAAAAAATATGTTCTGTATCATTTTGGTGCATCTAGAGGTCATTTTGATTTTTGCAACTCAGGTATGATAGCCCTCATTCCAGACTTGATGCACAAGGTTGTTTGTTATTGTTTTGAAATTAAAACTGGCTAAGACACTCTTAATTAAGCAAAGGAATGATGCTATATGAAATATTCCAAAGTGTACATGCAACATTGCATAGTGTTTGTGGGACTGAGAAATAAATACAATAAAATGAGTACATCACAGAACAATTTTAAATATTAAAATGTTGCATCTTATGATTCTTGATGAATATATTTTTCATGTACACTGAGCGCATATGCACCAAAGACAAATTCCTTGTGTGTCCAATCACATTTGATGAATAAAGTAAGATATCTTCAGAAGATTTTTAACCTAAAAGGCCTAACAGTATTTGTTAATGATAATAATCTGTAGGTTAAGAGTAAATTGGGACTACCAGATTTAGACAGAAAAAGACCAATAAATTACTAGATGTCAGCAAAGAAAACTAGTGACTATTGGGACTTTTACAATCCCGTCTTGAAAATCCTAGAAAAGACATGAGCTCATTTATAAATAACCTTCAGCCAGACCTACTACATGTTCCTTAAATTGTTTTGATGAACAGTGCCCTTTCTCAGCCCATGCTCCTTAGCCTGCAACATAGAATGAAACTCAGATTAAAAATGTACAAATTTTTATTCTAATCGAGATGAGGAAGCATAATCAATTCTTTGTCCTGGCTTTAAAAAGATAAGATTCCTTTAGCTGAACCCAACTGGGGACATCATGGCAACGTTTTTCTTGGCAATAATATGGGAATATACTACTTTCCTTGTAGTTTTTTTTTTTTTTTTATCGACTTGGCGGTCTAGCGCTGACATTTTCCGGTCGTCCGGCCTCCAAACTCTGTTCCGAGTTTTTGACCTTCGGCAAGGTCGGCTAAGCGCAGCCACTTGCGGTTCCCGGACAGCCCAGTTAAGAGTTAGAATTACACCCCTAAGTTCTTCCTCGACCCGCGAATGGACACGCAGGAAGGAAAGAAAGAAACAAAAATCTCGAAAGGAACCTGGAAGTCCTTGATGCGGCAGATAGAGGCATCACTCTTCCGAACAATCTTTACGGCTGACATTATGACGCAGAGGAGGGAGGCGGAGAAAGAACAGCGGGTCAAGGGTAAGAAGGGGCGTGGTGGCGGTAACCACGGTAGCCTCGGCTTTTTCTTAATTGGGAAGGAAGTAAAGCACGATGTAGGCACGCTATGGCAGCCGCCGGGGAAGCAGGTGAGAGGGCCTGTCTTGCTGGTCGAGAGTGGGGCGGGTTTTTCTTTTGGTTTTTTTTTTCCTCTTCCCCGAACGCTGACCGCTCCCCGCCCTGAGCTCTTGGTCCCTTGGAGGGCGCCAAATGAAGCGAGGGGCGGGTCCAGGGCGCGAGCGTGTCGGGTGTGTGGATTGGGGTGGAACGTTAGGTAAAAGGTGAATGGCACGCGCACGTTCTACCCTCGCTGCCCACCCACCCCCCACCCCGCCCAGGGTAAAGGCGCGCGCTCCTGAACGCCGCCGCCGCCGCCGCCGCTGCTGTGGCGAGTTTTTGCTCGTCTCTTGTGCAGCCGAGGAGAAAACCCGAAGGTGCTTCTTGGGTTCAGGTGTTTTCCATCCTTCTCCGGGTACACAGAATACACTTATGCACTTCATACATTTCGGGCCTCCCTGACTCCGGGGAGATAGTAGTTGTGCTTGCGACCTCTGTTGTTGTACTAAGCCGTCCGGAGGCGTGGAAGGAGTTGCCGGTGTCCTGGAGGTTGACTCGCTGGCTTTTTCGAAGCAGAAAAAGCAGCAGGAGAACGGCTGCCAGTTTTATTGCGGTCAGGCAATGTCACGGGGTAGCATCGATTATTTGAGATTCCGGGTCGCAACCGCTTCCGAGCACGCTGTATTGCCCTCACATAGGAACCTGAAATGTATATGAAGCAGATTATAGTTTAACGTGGGGAGTTGAAGGAAGCAGCTTTTTTTAAAAAAAATATTACATCTTATGAAGGCTTGCTGCACGCATCATGCTAAAATATAAAACCAAAAAGGCTTGATTTTCAGATGGCGGTTTCTGAATCTTGATGTATGATTTAATATGTTGGGTAAACACTGAGCAATCCTTCATCATTCTCCTTCTTTTGCAGTGTTAGCCTCAGCATATTTAAAAGCACCACACTTCACCTTCTTGCTTTCCTGCCTAGCTCAGACTAAGAGTGCACTTTTGCCATCTGCAGGATATACCCAAGCATTTCATTCTTGGTTTCTTTTTCTTTTTTGCAGTTTCTGGGTTTTTTAAAATTCCTTTCTGTAAAGCCTAAAGAATAAACAGAAAAGATTGATACATAAATTACACTTTTGCTGCACATTAATTAGCAGCTAAATAAGAAAAGGCAGGCTTAAGAAGAAATAAGCCAATACTAAATTTGAAATTCCATAGGCATTGAATTTATTTGTCTTAGCACAATATAACGATATGATAATGAGTTTCAGATAACACAGTGATGAATAAATGAACTATATAACTGCAGTTGAACTAGAGGTGAAGATGCACCATTGATAGTTTGGGAATGTTAAAGAAAACCTTTATAACATTTCTTTGTAAACTCGCAGAAACTATAGTATATTAGAATTTCCAACATAGTTCTTTTGAATTTTGACTCTGCCAATAGAAAAAGTGTAAATTGCTTTGGTTATGTTTTGTTCAGTTTTTTTTCTTAGTTGTGATGTGGCATTGTTCACTAGTTGGCTCAAGATAACATAATTTGGTTATTACTTCTTTACTTTGGAATTTCGTATAGATAAGTTACAGTACTGTTACCTCTCTTTTTCTACTGTGGTTTTTTTTCCTCTAATGTTAAATTAAAAACAACCATAACTATTCCAAAGAGAATTTATATCTTGGTATGTAATAATAATAGCTCCTGTTATTCTAAAGTATAAACAGTTCTTTAAGGATGGCTCTATAATGGAATATATTGCATGCTTTAAAAAAAGCTGCAGGAAAATACAAAAAAATCCCAACCATGAAAAATATACCCCCCCCCCAAAAAATCCCACCGTTCATTCCATCTCTTAAGTAGGTAAGCATAACCTTTTAAATAAATAATTTGTTTTAAATAATTGGAGGTTAATCAAAATGAACAACTAAACTACATATATTCAGGATATGCATAGCGTATGCTCCTGTCAGCTTACTTGTATGTCTACTATTTTAAGAATAACTAAATGAATTGAACCAGTGGACTTTCAAGCTTACTAGTCTTTCATAAGGACTACAAGCAATGGAAATATTTCTATTACTTCAGAAGTACAGTATGTAACAATGGACATCAATAAACATCAAGTGCTCATTTTGGGGTATGCTTTTAGTATCTTAAAATAATCTCACAGCTAATAGATGCATTATGGAAAGAGGAGAAAAGCTAACTGAAGGAAAGAAGTTAATAATGATTTAACTGCTCCAGCAATACTTACTGTTTTTTATTATCTGATGAAAAGCAGTGCCAAGTATATAACTGAAAGATGAATATACAGGTATTCCTCAACGTACGACCACAAATGAGCCCAACATAAGTGAGACATTTGTTAAGTGAGTTTTGTCCCGTTTTATGACTTTTCTTACCACATTTGTTAAGTGAATCATTGCAGTTCTTAAATTAGCAACATGATTGTTAAGTGAATCTGGTTTCCTCATTGACTTTGCTTGTCAGAAGGTCACAAAAGATGACCACATGACCCTAGAACATTGCAGCCATCATAAATACATGCCAGTTGTCAAAGGTCCAAATTTTGATCACATGACCACAGGGATGCTGCAATGGTCCTAAGTGTGAAAATTGGTCATGTCATTTTTTTTTCAGTACTGTTGTAATTTTGAAGGTCACTAAATGAATGGTTGTAAGTCAAGGACTACCTGTATATTGCCTGCTAGAATTTTGAACAGGTCGTTTTTGAATCCACATATTACTATAGAGATAATATGAGTCACAAGATAATTACACGATCATTGAAAATAAAAGGACTACAGTCAGCATCATGTACTTTTCCTCTCAATATAGTATGATCAGTTATAAAACCAAGGATACAAAAATGTTTCCCATTCCTAATATCTGTACAATCCCTTTTTAAGGTAATAAATTTGGATATCTTCGTTCAGAATATGAGTATTATGGAATAACTAAGATAAGTTTCTGGCAAAATAAAGCAAGTTATTGAGAATAGCATTGTAGATAATTTTTTGTTATTTTGTGGGTGATAATTTACTAATATTTTAAAATGTTTGCTTAATTGTAAAAAAATGTAAAAATTGTGATTCACTATTACATGACTTGGGAGTCATGTAAGAAGAAGAAAAGAGAAATGTTTCAATTTTTCTTCCAGTAAAAATGTTTTAGTTTGTAATTAAAAATCATAGAAACACCTTTTTAAAATACTGAATTAAGTTTAGCTTCATTATTAGCAAATAACAGATTGCACTTGAAAATATCATTGGTTACACCTCAACATTATAAAAATTATTTCTGATTAACACAATCACATAAAAAAAAATTAAAACATGTAAGTGGCTATTTTTTTTAAATAAGAAAAGGTCTTTGGTTGTAAATCTAGGTAAGTATCAATCATTAAAACTGACACATATTTTTCCAACTTATCTAGCCACTTCTTAATCTGTTCCACGTTTTCTCAACATTCATGTGCATACATTTCACTTCCTTTTTTTATCTCAATCCCCTCCCTTTGGTTTAAAGTTCAATGTGATCAATGTTATCTGTAATTATTCCATGTGATTCTCTTTCTCTTTTTTTAAAGAATCCAAACTTATGCAATGTTCGTATTCCTAGAGACAACTAAGTTGTATTTTATGTTGCCTGTATTATCATGTGGTATACTTTGTTCATTAGTGTGAAAGCAGCCAGTTACATCTTTTATATCCATTAAGTCACCAATCATACCTAGATTTCCATGTGAATGCGTTTGTGAAGTCCAGCATATTCTGCATAGTTCACAGTACATACAATTGCACACAGCTCCAGGAAAATGGAATAGTTGCTTGAGCAAATACTTTACTCACATCACACTCCCTTTCTTTGGCATACTGCTCTGCCAGTCTTTGGTCTTGTTTCTGCTACATACCTGGCTGAGCTACAAACTGCATACCATGACATTCTTCCCTAAATGCATCAAGCTAGAGAAGTATTACTCTCTTCCAAATGTTTTATTAAGGTTTATTATAGTACAAAATACATTTAAATTAAGATTTAAAATGCAGGGGGGACACTACATTTGCAGCAACAACATTTTCTGTAATTGCAATAACTGTTTAGTTACAAACCGTTTCTATAACTACACAGTTATTCATTCTTCAAACTAAAGTCTAAGTTCCTTTTTGGTATTTTGAGAAGAAAACCCAGAAATGTTTTCCCAATGGAAACAGGACTGAATAAAATCTCTTTGTTTAAAAAAGTTTACATTGTCACCTCAATTTTCCCCCATCTATTTTTTTCATTGTGAGAAATACGGTGTCTTTTTAGCTATATTTAAAATGTTTTCTGCAGTGCTATTATGTATAATAACAAAAATCACAATATTCTTTCAGTGGAATTCTAGGAATTGAAGTCCACACATCTTAAAAGTTGCTACGGTTGAAAAACTGTGAGTTAAGCAGTGAAAGAAAAACAAGGCAGGTTATGTTAGCAGCAGATGTAATGGTGGCTCCTGAAGAGCATGACCTCTTGGATGAAATGTGACTTGGAGACAAGGATATCTGCAGGACTTTATAGACAACCGTTAGATTGGCAACAGAAAGATTTGTGGTCCCATTTAATAATGGGGTTCTGAGGGTGGAGAGTAAGGAAAAAACTAAAAATGTGAGAGAAAGAGGGAGAAATGATAGTTTTGTGTGAAGAGAAAAAAGCATTGAATTAAATTATTGAATTAAAGAGATAAGTGCATTCTAGCAATTTTGTTCAGAAATCTAAGAGCCATTTTTCCTAGAAACAGTGCTGGTTATTTAATATATCCAAAATTACATAATGAAAAACTTAATTCAGAATGTCAAAATCATACAGCTTTATATATTATGGCTGGAAAGGATTCTGAGCCTACTATCGCTGTCTTGTGAACCTTAACATTTTGGAGACTATCTTTTTCCTTGCTGATATCCAACAGCTGCCAGGAGGTTCCAAGGAAAATACTGATTTCTCCTTCCTGTCTGTTACGAGTCCTGAATAGTAAATGGATCCTGAATTGACCACCAGGGAGCGTGGTATGAGAACCCTCCACCCACCCCATCTGCTGTGCCAGTGGGAAAGAGAGAGGGCAGGGGAGATTGAATATCTTAACACCTCATTTTTAGAGATCCCAAGTGTAAGTGTAGAACTATATGAAAAACAAGAGTAAATGTGGAATTTCATCAGATCTCAAAATTTATTAAAAATGAAGGCATATTTTAATTTTTGTCTGCATGCAAACTAGCAAATGAATAGATAAATGTTGTGGTAAACTTAGATTGACTTATGTTGGAAATGGAGACAGAAATAAATTAAATTGAACATTGCTTTCTGTTGTTGATATGGGCAATATATAGTGGCCATTAATATTTAATCAACGCAAATGCAACATTTATATGTCATTTGATTATTATAACTAGTTTCTTGCAATGCTGCTTGTTGTTGATTAGATATTTACAGTGAGGTAATAAATACTGCCCTTTGAGCTTGTTGATGTCATCTTTCCTGGGGTAAGGCTAGCTCAGTTTTCCAACTATGGACTTTCAAAGGTGATAAGAAAATGTATTAGATGAAAAAAAAAGATTAATACTTCATAAAAATATATCTCACTAGGTTTCATACTTTTATACTTAACACTGGAAGCTCTGTAATACATGATTTTTTTATTGTTGCCATCTTCAGTTTGTTCTGAATGTATTTTATATTGTTTTGTTTGTAGTATAGATTTTGTTTGATGCTAAAGAAGCTTTCTAGGTGCTAAATAATAATACCAATATTAAAACTAAAATATTAATCCTAGGAGCAGTGATTATTTAAATATGTTGGCACACTGGATGATATGGCAGCTTACTTTGTGGCAAAGAGCATAAAAACCATAGGCTAACATCTAACTTTAAGTTCAATTCTACTCATGTATGTTACATTTGTCTCTGTAACTTGATAATTCTAATTCCTTCTCTTCTTGCTGCTAAATTAACAAAATGTTTCAGAACTTTAGTAAGTACGTAGGAAAAAAAAGTTATGTGAATTATGGTTAATGGCACTGTTTATCTATTTTGCAAATAGATAATTATCCTTTGATCCTTTAGTTTATACATTAACTAAAGGAAGGATATTGACTTGTATAATCAAGATATAAAATAAAAAGTGAAATAATATGAAATGTTTTTGACAAGTCTAACTATACTCAAGCTTTATTATAATATATAGTAAATAGTAGATTACACAAAAATGATCATAAAATGTTGCTATTTCTTTTCATCTTTGAAGCTGCCTTGCAAAAGTCTTGTTCACAAGTATTACTGTCTAATTTAAATTGAAAATGATGCCATCAGTTTATCAGTTCAAGATCAAGCACCTACATCTATCAAATTCTGTTTTAAAAAGACACATTATTAATGTATATTTTCTTTAGAAATAATTCTCATATTTGGTTATAAATCCAAAAGTTTTCAGAGTAAATTGAATAATGATCACTTATTTTCAGCTTAGAATGTTAATATTTTTAGATTCTATAATGACTATATAGAAATATAATTCTGCTTAATGAAAAATTTAAAATGAAAGTAATTTTTTCTGCTTTTGTATTCTGTTTGATTAATTGGACTTTTAACTATATTTTTGTTCATAAGTTGGGTGCACATATAAACAAAGCCACTGGGTTTAAGACTTTAATATTTTACTGTCTTATTTTATCAGTTTTTTTGCATTTTATACATTTGATCTATATAGCAATATCACTTAGGCTTATATACCGCTTCACAATGCTTCACAGCCCTCTCTAAGTGGTTTACAGAGTCAGCGTATTGCCCCCAACAATGTGGGTCCTCGTTTTACCCACCTCAGAAGGATGGAAGGCTTGAGCCTGGGGAGTTTTGAACTGCCAAATTGCAGGCAGTTGGCAATCAGCAGAAGTAGCCTGCAGTAGTGCACTCTAACCACTGCACCACCGCGGCTCATATCATCTTATTATGTTTGCCAAACTTGCTAATATATTCTGATACTTTCCTATCTGTTGTAATAATTGTTGATGAAGCGTGAGTTAAAACCTGGAAGGTATATGTGAAATATGAAATTAAAAAGTATAAGAAAAAATTTATATACTTATTCTGTTTTGAGAATTTGAGAAAAAAATCTGTCCATTACTGTGGGAAAAGTGCACTGCTTTCATTTTTCCATTCCCACATTTCTTTTTACTTATTGTTCATCTTGACTCTTTGCTATATATCATCATTTCACTATGAGTTTCTGTCAGTAACTTGAGTTCTTGCAACCTCTTGATTGTGTCAGCTGTGACATCTAGTGACCTTTTCCTTCTGTCAGCCTCTTTTTTACTTGATTTCAATTTTTCCAAGTAAGATCTCCAATTATTTTTGTCTTTGTATTATGTATCTAAATTATTTAAACTGTTGCTTCATTATTTAAACTTATTAGTTCTTCATTTTATTTAAGGCCATTAGAACTGTATTGCAAAAAAATCTGGACTGATACTGGGAGGCAGGAAAAAATGCCAAAAAACCCTAATACTCTGTGTAGCATTTATTTGTCCTGTTATTCAGTCAAGAGGGATAGGTTGTCCACTCCACACTCTGCTAGGATTTGTTTTGAATATGGTTTGAAAAACAAAACCCAGATCAGCCTAGTTCACATATGGCTAAGTGCCAAATCATGGTTTATAAAACACTGAGGCTGGGTTACCACATAATCAGTGAAACTAAACAAATCATGGCGTAGTTTTTAGTATGATACATAAATCCAGTTTTCCCTTACCTGTTTATTTTCCTCATGCAGTACTTTTTTGTATAACATACAGAATAGCTTTTGGAGTTATAATAATATAAATATTTTCAGAAGATTATTTCAACTATCTTTTGGTAATGAAATAAGCTGAATAACTTTCTTTCTTTCTTTTCTAGGATAGAAAGTTGCTACTTTATCTCAGGGAAATAATCTGGATTCTTTTTCACCAATGTAACATGAAAACAATGGGCAGATGATATCAGTTAAAACTGCTTTTGGCAGCTGACTATCAGACAGCAAGCAGCTACGTAAGCAACTGCAATCCAACTGCAAGGATTTTTACAGTCCCGTGCACTGGAAATTATGTGCAGTATCTAAGTACTCGGAGTAACTGCAGTTTCTATGTAAATCATTTTAGGATTTATAATAATGTCTGTTCATGCCACAGAGAGTGACATTCCTAGATTTTTTGTGGGTGGTGAAGATGGGGAAGAACTTTTGGATTGTTCCAGATCTTCCAATTTTGCCTCCTTCTATGATCAGGATGATGATGATGAAGAGTATGATTCTGTACGTACTGTGTTTATTTTATTTTATTATTTAAAACATTTATATGGCTGTCTATAGTTTAGACAGGGGTTATCTAGTGCTACAAGTAACTTATGTATCAGATTTTGGAAGACTTTTTGAAATTAAGATTTTTTTAAAAAAATGGGTTATGTCACAGAAAAGTAAAATCTAGTATCTGAAATTAGTCTCCGATTCCTATAGTATCAAAACATGTTACTCATACTTTGCATAGAAAATAGTTTCTTTTGTGTTGCAAGTAGTTCAAAGATTTCCATTGGTGGAGTTGACTAGTGCAGCTGGCATCTAAATACAAACTTATGTAGCTACAATTCAACAATGCTGCTCACCATAATTATTATAACTCATTACAAGTCTCATTAAAGGGTGGTTCTGCAGATTGTGCTTTCTGTAATTTAATAACCTAATGCACTGAAAGTTTTTACTTTCAAATGGTAACTTCAAATTTATATAATGTTTTTTTTTTAAATCTTGTAAAATGGGCATAATAGTTTTTTCTATATGCAAGAAATAGTAAAACAATTTTTTCTTTATACTAATTTTACTGTATACCTTTATGCAAAATTAAGCACTGATTTCCAATTCATATTTTATTAATACATGAACCTGATAATATAATCATGAAATTTGTTTATCAAACAAGGATAGAAATATTCCCTTAATTGATAACATAATTGATCTTAATTTTTTTTTTTTAGCCACCAGAAAGACAGATCATGGTTGGAATATGTTCTATGGCAAAAAAATCAAAATCAAAACCAATGAATGAAATCCTTGAACGGCTTTCCATGTTTAAATACATCACAGTAGTGATATTTGAAGAAGATGTCGTTTTGAATGAACCGGTAGAAAACTGGCCTTTATGTGATTGTCTCATTTCTTTTCATTCTAAAGGTGATTGCTGTTTATTCAGTACAATGTAAAAATTTTCATGCTGTGAAACATTTTGTTACAATTTTATGAATATTTTTAATAATATTGAATAGTGTTATTGAAATCTCTTACATTGAACCATATTTAAAGAACAATGTATTTCAATTATCTAGTGATATGTAAGAATGGATATAGTCCAATGTTTCAATATAAATATATTACGGACTGATTAACATTATTACAATGATGCAAAGTATCATTGGTCCACTTTATACAACAGTTAAAAACATTTAATCTTGGAAATAATTTATGTCAAATTATGCTAATGCTAATTTTGGAAAGAAGTACATAGTGAATTGGAAACACGTATAACAAAACCTTTTGAGCCTTCCTTTAAATTGATTTAACTTAATATTTTTGCTATTCTCAATTTCCCCATTATTTTATTTTAAAAGAGTTGGAATTCTAATGAATGCTTAATCACACATGCTTTATCAAAAATGAGTCTAATTTAGTGAAATTTACTTTAAATGATTGTAATGTTATTTTCTCCTTGACTTTAAAAAATTATGTTAAGAAAATACTAGATTGCTGTATGCTCAAATACTGTTGTATTTGAATTGATAGTTAACTGATATAGGATACCTGATGTTTCAGTTGAACAAAATGGGGTAAACAAAATAAAGAGAAAAACTTTTAAAATAGGATGGATGAAACTATAAAACTCTAATCCAGGTAATTTTATAGATGAAGGAATTTGAAATAATTTGTAAAACTTATCTAGAATAAATCAATTGTGAAATTCCAATTATAAGTTGTAATTCTTATGCATTTAAGAACTATTTAAAAATAAATACAGATTTTCTTTGCTACATTTTGTTTAGGATTTCCATTGGACAAAGCAGTTGCCTATTCTAAACTCAGGAATCCATTTGTTATTAATGATTTGAATATGCAGTATCATATACAAGACAGGTAAATAAACTCTTATCTCCTAGATGTAAATGCCTCTTTTGCTATTTTCCTTGCATTTTATTAACTGAAAACCTGCAAGTGTACCTCTAGCGTACCAGTACGATCAAAGTGGAATATTAGTTACTGTATTTGCAAAGAATATCCTCCTATTTAAAGCACATCTGAAAATGTTTAATTTTCAAGTTTACATTTTTCAAGGTGTATATTTTGTTCGTGTTTGTTATGTTTTATTAACATGTTGCTTATTTATTAAACTCTTTTTCTCAAGGATCTTTAGTGTTTCTAAATGATTCTTCCTCTTTTTTTCCCTTTTGATTGTACATATTCACATGAATGCCCTTCACAAGGCCATATCACTGTGTTATATTACTGTGTTATTCCTACTATCAGTATCAAGCTGTTACAGAGAACTTCAGATTTTCTAGAATGCAGAAATTATCTTCAGTGAGAATTTGACATCAGTAATGCTAACCTAAAGAAATAAGTGCTCAAATTCAATTGTACACTTATCTTCTAATCTGATTGTCCCACATCAAATTGCACAGTAAATTGGAAGAGGAGGCTTTCATTCTAATTCTCACCATCATGTTTTCTTTCTCTTGTGGAAATAGGCAAATGTACTGTAATACTTCAAAACTGAATTAGAAATATCCTGTGTCTAGGACTAGAAGTTCTACATTTTGCAATTATTTTGTTCCAGCTTTTAATAGGGTAACTTTCTAATTTGTTGCAAGTTTACACAAAATTGTCTGGCTATCCTGTGATTTTAATTAGAAATTACTTTCATGTTTTTCCAATAATTGCAATGTTTTGTGGGATATATTATTTCTTTTCAGGAGAGAAGTTTATGGCATCCTTAAAGATGAAGGCATTTTACTTCCTCGTTATGCAGTTCTAAACCGGGATCCAAATAATCCCCAAGGTAATTATTATATTGGCATTTCAAAGGACTCATCTACAAACAGTTGTTCTTGTCTGTTAATAAAATGTTATTTTTGTGTCTATAATCAACATATGAATTGAGAGTGGAAGATGACATGGATGGTCTTTGTTACAAGGTTAAAAAAGAAAAAAACTATGTAACTGATAGTATATAATAGTCTTTTTTAAACCTACTGAACCCAATGGAACTTCAAAATAAAATTCTATAGGAATTTAGTTCATAAAAATATTTTCTTCATTTTCTTTTGCTAGACTTGCTAAACAAGCTGTCATTTCAATACAATGGTTTCTTTATTTCAGAAAACTTTTAGAAGTAGATGCTTGTGTCAAAATGATTCATATTTTATGGGTATATTCTTTGATTTTTTTTCCATAGACTAAATTTTCCTTTAGTTAGGAAAACTTGGTTCCGTTGCTCCTTTTATATCCTTCAGTGTGCAGTTTCCTGTAACACCTAGGATCAAATACAGAAAATATAATAAGCTTTGATGTTATTTGCTGTTTTTTGTTTTGTTTTTAGGCACTTATTTGTTTTGGCTCTCAACACTCTTAATGTTTTATTTGTTTGTTTATGTCTTCAGATAGCCTTCATTTCTGTTCTGGGGAAGAGGGACTCAGTTAAAATGTTAGTTTCTCAAAAAACACTTTAAGGCAATGTAGCCACAATCAGGTGCATTTTATCCACAACACTCAACTGCATTATAGTCACAAGCCAACTGCATTTTATCAACAGCCTGTTTCTTACAAACAATGAAGCTGCAAATCATAAATGTATGTTTTGTTTTTAGGTTGTCATATCATTCAGTATTGGTGTTCTTTTAAATGTAACTAGAGGGAAACCGTGTCTTCCAGTTTTCCTTTTCTGGCTTGTGGCCAAAAAAGCTATTACTGTATTAAAACAAAATAGCAATCTAAAAGTAGATAGTTATGTCCATGTTGCTGAAAAGAAAAATCATTTGGTACACTAATTGTTGTCTAGTTGTATTCTATATAAAGTAAAGTTTGGCAGTAAAAGCAATTTACTACTTGGGATCATTTCTAGAGCTATTCATGCTTTCAGAATTGTTTGGAAAACATACTTTCATTTGCACAGCAAAAGTATTGTAGCAGCTCTGTAATATAACCACATCTTTTTTTTCAGACATCTCTGAAATTCTGAAAAAAAAAAGAGATGGCTGATTTAATGTTTTACTGTATCATAGCATATGAAGAATCAGTTAAGCTTCAATAAATGCTTAACCAGTCCCATTACCATTTTCTTCCACAACCTCCCTGCTTTGCTTTTTTAAGCTCTTCCTGCAATCCTTCCGCAACTCATTCTGATCTGCCTCTTTCCAAACTGCCTCTTTCAGTATTCATTTGTTCTGCCTTGTGACTTCCCACTTATTTTTCTATTTGCTTGCTTGATTTTTATGGTAGTAATAATAATAGCTCACTTTAAAGTTCTGAAGAAATATTTATTTGAACTAGAAAATCAATTTATGATCGTAAATAGGGAAACAGAGTAAAAAGATAATTTCTACATTTATAACTACACCTCTATGGTCTTGACATATTCCGTAAATCCCTATGTAGGCCTCAGTAGGAAAAATATGTTTGCTTCTCTGTGGTTTAGTATGTTAAGTTTCAAAGTTGCTGAAGTTCATGGGTTCAAATACATTTAGAGATTATAAACAGTTTTCTTGTCTTAATTTATAATGGATTTTTTAAAATCTGTGACTGAAACCTGAAGTCTGTATTTATTTATGGGTTTTTTTTCCAGAATGCAATTTGATTGAAGGAGAAGATCATGTGGAAGTGAATGGGGAAGTTTTCCAAAAGCCATTTGTGGAAAAACCAGTTAGTGCAGAGGACCACAATGTGTATATTTATTATCCAACATCTGCCGGTGGGGGAAGTCAGAGGCTCTTTCGGAAAGTAAGACTAATATAACTTACACAAGAATAGTTTGCCCCTTCTTTTAAATATTCTGTGATGATGGTACTCATGATTGAATTGAAAAGAATGGCATTCCTTAAAAAAGGAAAGGGAAAAGAAAGAAATTCAACAATTACATGATGAAAATGGGACACACACACACACACACACACACACACACACACACGAAATCATCCGGAGGTAAAGAAACACATTGTACAAAAATATAATGAAAATTTATACGGACGGGATCAAATAGAGAGGGATAAGATAGAACAATGTCTTAAGGGAAAAAACCTGCCACAAATTTCAGAAGAAAACAACTTTCAGATAAGGAAATAACACAGAATTAGAAAAAGCAATCAATAAACAGAAAAACAATAAAACGCCAGGTCCAGATGGGATTCCAGGAGATTTTTATAAAGCTTTATGGGAAACTATGCAACCACTGCTGTTAGAATTGTATAATGAAGCACTATTAAAAGCAGAAAGATTGGAAATAGTTTTGAATGAAGTTACACATTCGGACCAAAATGGTTTTTTCCCAAAAAGATAAACACCAGGACAGTAATGAATATTTTGGAATACTATGAAGCGCATCCAGAGAAACCAGTAGCACTGGTTTTTCTGGATGCGCAGAAAGCATTTGACAATTTAAATTGGGAAATTTTCTTATATCAAATGAAAGAGATGAAATTTGGACCAAACTTTGTAAAAATGATAAATATATTCAAGTCAGAAAGCCAGTGTAAAGGTAAATGGGGACTTTATGGAAATATTTTACATAGCTAAAGGAGTGAGATACGGCTGTCCAATCTCACCTCTGATATTTATACTTGCAGTAGAAGTTTCATTAAATCAAATTAGAAATAAAAAAGAAATTACGGCACTAAGATAAAAGAGGAAGAGTATAAAACAAGCATTTGCTAATGACACGGTATTTTTTGTAGAAAATCTGAACGAGGTTGGGAAAATATTGTTAAACGAAATAGATCAATATGGTAGAGTAGTGAGTCTTAAAATCAATAAAATGTTAGTTAAAAATCTTTTAGAATGAATACAGAAGCCTGATGATGGCAGATGAGATTCTGCCGAAACGTTGCTACAACTTTAAAAGCACAACTACAATGACGTGGGAAAATACCTAAACAAAGCTGAATGCCATATATATATGTGTGTGTGTGTGTGTGTGTGTGTGTGTGTGTGTGTGTGTATAAGAAAACAAATTTTATATATATATATATTTATATATAATATATATATATATATAAAATTAGAAAAGGAAACCGAACTCCAAATTACAAATAAAATTAAATAGTTGGATATCTGGTTGACAGCAAAATGTTCATCTTTAAATGAAGATAATTATGATAAATTACTTAGCCAAACAAAGAAGGATTTGGAAATATGGGGAAAATTGCAACTGTCCTTGGTAGGAAGGATTGTTGCAATAAAGATGAACTTGCTACCAAAATGGCTATACTTATTTCAGACTGTACCGGTAAAGTTAAACAATAAATTCTATGGGGTACTAAATAAGATGATAACAAAATTTATATGTAAAAAACCTAGAACCAGATTAAAACTATTGCAGGATAATAGATACAGAGGTGGTTTTGGACTCCCTGACTGGGAAATATATCAACAGGTAGCAACATTAACTTGGATTAGAGATTGGATATTTTTAAACAACAGGAGAACATTAACGGTACAGGGACATGACTTGCAAGTTGGATGGTATGCCATCCTATGGGAGAGAAATAAAAAGACATATTCACATGTTATACAACATTTAATTAGGGAGGCATTATTAGAAATTTGGCATAAAATTAAATCAAAACACTATACTTAGATAGCAGGCTGGCTTTCAACTATGGAAGCAGTGTTCAACCCAAATACTATGGATATTTCTAAAATGATCAGGTACAACACTATTAGATAATCATGGAAACCTAAAAACAAATCAAAAATTGAAGAAGAAATTAAGTTAGACTAGTGGCCCTATCTGCAAGTGCAAACAAAGTATAAAAAATATGGAAGAATTTGGTATAGAAAGAAAGGAGCAGAGGAGGAGTTAGTAAAACACAATGATAGCATGGATGAAAAATTTTGGATAAAACATTCAATTAGAGAATTGGGAAAGACTTTGGGAGAGAAATTATAAATTTAACAATGGCAGCCTCATATAGGGAAAACCTTTATAAAATGTTCTATCATTGGAATGTAGCACCATTGAGATTGGCCAAGATATATCCAAATTTGAGTCCAATATGTTGGAAGTGTAAACAAACAACGGGTACTTTCTTTCATATGTGGTGGTTGTGCCCCAAAGCCAAAAAATTCTGGAATAAAATTAAAAATTTGGCTGCAAGAAATAATGAAGGAAAAAATAGAATTCAAACTGGAAATGTTTTTATTAGGAATAATTAGAGGTGAATATAAAAAGAAATTGAATATCTCATAATACATATTCTGACAGCAGCGAGAATAACCTATGCTCAAAATTGGAAAGCAGAGGGTAATTCTACAGACAATGTGTTAATTAGAAAAATTATGGATTGTGCGGAGATGAATAAGCTTACTATGGAGTTGCAAGAGAAGGAAAAAAGAGAATTCTATATGGTTTGGGAGAATTTATATACTTGGATAGATAATAGGAATAATAGATAACATATAATGTAAAAATGAATAATGTATATATGTATATAGATATGAATAATGGAAGATGAAAAAAACATACTACAATGTATTGCAAAAATTGTAAACATGATTAGTGTTTTTTTAACTGTAGAACTTTAATAAAATCTATTTTTTAAAAAGCATTCTATTCTGAGAGTTACCTTGCAAATTGCATTAACTGAAGAATTACAGATAATTTGTATATCTGTGCTTCATAATGACAGGTAAGATAGAATGAAGTGGAAATAAGTAAGAAAATAGTGAATACAAAAATGGCTGCCAAATACCACAAGATAGATTTTATCTGTAAACAAGTAATTAGATTATAGCTTAGTTTAGATTTCATTTTGTAGTCTATCTTTCTGTAAGAAGATATGTTATTGAATGTATTCTTCTCCCCACCATATCAATAAAGAAAATTTCAGGAATACATCAATTATAGCGTGATTCTCAACCGATGGTCCTCTTTGAAGGGTCATGATATTCTCACAGGGTGGGATCTGCGAAGGCTTGAAGAAATATTATGATTTAAATCTTGAGTTTAATTTTGGTGGTCCATGGCCATGATCGGAGATTTGTGGTGAATAAAAGGTTGAGAACCACCGAATTATAATATTCCCATCAGCCTGATGAGTGCTTTTTACCTTTCTCCCATAACAGGTTCAAGATGTAGAAATAAATTTTAAGTGAATTCTTTCTTCATAACACGATAGAGTATGCCATTCTCAATTTCTTTTCTTCATCTGAACATTTCCAAATGATTTTTAAGGTTTCACAACTCCAAGGAGCAGGGTTACCTTGAATCTGAGATGAAGAGGGAAGGGGAAAGAGTGAGTTTCTTTTTAAGAATAGTGATTTTGTTTTATTCAGAAAAATGAAATAAAAATAAAAGATAATGTTAACAATAGGGTAAAAAGAATATTTATTGTATGTAATGAAGTATGACATTAAAAGTCATGAACTATCATCAGTCAATCCAATAATACTGATAGAGGAGAATATTTATGACAGGATTGAAATGAGGGGTCCTTGGTGTTCTGAGCATAATTTTCTTACAGATGTTTCATTACCCAAACCAAGTAACATCATTAGGGAGTGGGGTTTGGTCTCATTTTATACTCTATGGCCTTAGTGTTGCTGATTGTTATCTTGGTGATTTTTTATTGGATTGTTTACTGTTAGCTTGTTTGTGGTATTGTTTTGTTAGTCCGATGTTAATCTTGGTGTTAATCTCTGCCCATCTGGGAATTGATTGTTGGTAAGGAGTAACAGCCAAGGTCAACCTCTCAATCCAATCATAGCAATTTCTAAAAAAAATTAAATAGTATTTGAGAAGCTGCCTTTTATCCAGATAACCCCTTTGCTCACATATGTATTGCTAAGCCACTTAAAATGCCATGCCTTCAATCAAAGATAAAGCCAAAGGTTTTTCTAACCTCTTTCCATTTATTAATTAAATGCAGTTAAGATTGAAGAATGAGCAGTGATCTTTTACAGAAGGAGAGATTAAAAAATACTGTTTTATACATTTAGACATCTCAGGAAACCTTCCTAAAAGACTTTTTTTTTTTTTCAGTCCACATAGCCAGTGTATTTTCCTTTTTCCTTTCAACCCTGTCACAGTATAGTATGGTAAGAATGTTGTATTTTGTTTTTATAAACATTTATAACTACAGTTTTATTCTCTTCAAAGCAATTTTTAAGAAAAAATGTGTTTTGGGTATTTTAGCATAAATTAACATAGATGGAAATATGTATTTCAGATTGGTAGCAGAAGCAGTGTTTACTCTCCTGAAAGCAACGTGAGAAAAACTGGTTCATACATCTATGAGGAATTCATGCCTACAGATGGTACTGATGTAAAGGTATAATTGCATATTTAGGTTTTAATTTTGGAGCAGTCAAGTGATTAAGGACCTTAGCAATTCTGTGAAACATTTACTATTACTGAACTATTGCTGTAGTTAAATGTGAAACAGCTAAATTCTTTGTTTTCTTCAGTGAAAATTAATTGTTCTTAAAGAAAATTAAAAATATATTTTGAAGAGCATGAGAATGCAGATGAAGTACTTGTTGTGTTTTGAATTGTTGAAATAGTTATATTTTTCCCTGTGTTCCACAGCTGCATTATAACCTGCTCCCTTAAAAGATTTAATAAAGTTTATTATAGCATAAAATACAATGAAAATAAAGATTGAAGGGGAGAAGAGTGCAGGATAAAAAAGGAGAGGAATAAAAGATGGAGATGGAACTGGCTATGAAGTAAAGCTATACCTAATGCCATGTATTTAACCAAAAAGTTTTTACTTGCTTTGTCTTTCCCTTTACCCTCAAATATAGGTATACACTGTAGGTCCAGATTATGCACATGCAGAAGCACGTAAATCCCCTGCTCTAGATGGCAAGGTGGAGCGTGATAGCGAAGGCAAAGAAGTGAGGTATCCAGTGATACTTAATGCACGGGAAAAGTTAATAGCTTGGAAAGTATGCCTGGCTTTTAAGGTAACAAGATACAATAACAAACATTTCAAACCAAATTATATTTTCTGAAATTATTGCCTATTCCAGGGGTCAGAACCCTTTTCAGGCCTTGGATACCACTGAATGATTTCACATGATGGGCCAGATAACCCACCCCCCACAGTCAAATTTCATGAAATTTAAAATGATAATGCTTAATCTCATAAGGTATAGCCATTAAAAATAATAAAAAATCTGTTCAATTTTGTAAAATAGCAAAATTATGATATAGCAAGCAGCTCAGAATTGGTAAGATCATACTGCTGACCCCTGGTATCAAAAATGTGCAGAAAGTAGTTTTTATTGTTTTTAATACAGAGGATATCTCCTGCTTTTCAATTGTTGCTGTATTTTTTTCCCTATGTTTCTTTCCCCTGCTTTGATCAGCTGAGAAAATCTATTAAAATCTATAAATGAAGCCTCTTGGGAGTTTGGGAGTAAGCCCCTAAATAATAGATGTCTTAGAGCTGTTTGTACTGTTAACCTGTTTATAAAGATATTTTGGAATTTTAGAAATAATTGAATAAGAATTTAGAAGAATGTTAAATTCAAAAAGTTGCCTTTCCAAATGTCCCATTTAAACATAGATATGACAGGATAAACATTTAAAGAGATATAAGAAAACTGGATACTATCCTGTGATATTTTAGATTATTAATATGTGGAATGTTTTGTTTCTGCTACATAGAGTTATTGAGTTTTAACTGTCTAGATAATATTTTGCAAGTTTTGAACATGTTGCTTTCTCTTATAGCAAACAGTTTGTGGATTTGACTTGTTGCGTGCAAATGGGCAGTCCTATGTCTGTGATGTCAATGGCTTCAGTTTTGTGAAAAATTCTATGAAGTATTATGATGATTGTGCTAAAATCCTTGGGTAAGAGTTTAAAGAACTTGAGTGGGCTTTGGGACACTGTTATTGACCCATAAGGATCCTTGGTTTGACTTGAGTTCCAGATTTCTCCATTTCCTGTGTTTGTCATTTTTGTGCTATAAAATCTTAATTAATAAAAAATAATAATTTCCCAGTGATCCTTTGAGGGAACAACATTGGATAAGATCTCAGGAAGTCAGCCTTTTAAGAGAGTTATTAAGATGTGCTTACTTTGTGCAAATGTAGGTTTTGTTATTCAGCTTGTGATTTCCTGGCAGCCTTAATAAATATGTCCTCACGTAATAATTTTTAACCAGAAGTCTTAATTTGCCAAATGATAAAGATTGGCAATTCTCAAAATTGTTCAGAGTTTTCTTTACTGAGGTGTAAAAAAACTAATATGTTTAATTATTAAAATTGTAGTTAGCTATTGCTACAAATTATTTATTTCATAGTATATAAATATATAAATTAAGACATTTTAATTCAATAAATCATTTACCTTTCCTCTTTTAGAAATATGGTTATGAGAGAACTTGCTCCACAATTTCAGATCCCTTGGTCTATACCTTTAGAAGCAGAAGATATTCCTATTGTGCCAACCACCTCAGGAACAATGTAAGAAGAAAATATTTGCATAAAATTGCACCAAGATTGTTTTTCTTATCCATGTTAGGTTCTGTAAATATACATATTCCATAGATAATAAATTGTCAGGCTCAAGGAACCAAGAACAACACAGGGATCTGCTCATAGTAGTTTCTTTATTATTGCTCATCAATAGCCAGGAAGTTTGATAGACTGAAGCACAGTCTGCATAACTATTAGGTAAACCGTGTGAAAGGTTAGGGAGGATCCTCTCTGGCCTCTTCCTGCATGCCAGAGATTCTAAGCTGACTTGTTTTTTTGCTCCTTGGGAAAGATCCCCTCCTCATGCGACTCTGCATCACATTCCAACACATAACTATAGCAGAACAGTTGAGCCTATCAAATGGAAAGCTAGATATCTCTAGTCCTCTTCCCCCAGTAGGCCTGCGGACTTCACATTTTGGTTAAACCTCTTGCTTTACGTTATGGGCTTGGTAATTCTCTCACAACCTATAATGTCTTTTTGACAATTACATATTAAAAATGGCAAAAAATAAATGATGATAATACAACCTGCCCCTGTGTGACAATCTTTCATTTTGTTCCCTCTATAGAAAATCAACTATTCTTACAGGATATAAAATGAAATTTTACTGGGAAAAAACCCATATGTTCAGAATTTAGAGTGCAAAATTCTAAGCAAAAGTAATAGATTCTAATGATAAAGTCATAAATACAGCCTTAAATACAGTTAATCCTTGGCTTACGCTTGGTTGCTTATTGACCTTTTGAAGTTGCAATGGATCCTACAAAAGGTACTTAAAACCCAGATTTGAAGTTTCAATGGGCAACCTCTGTGGTCATGAGATCACATTTTGGGCACTTAGCAATTAAGCCACATTCACGGTCATCTGCAGTACCCCATGGTCACATGATTGCATTTTATGATTTTTATTTTTGGCCAGGGACTGGTATTCCAGTTTCCAGAAAAAAACAACATTAATTGTGGCCAATCAGTTTGATGTTTGCATAACAGCTACCACCCAAAAAAAAAAGATAAAATTGGGCATATGATGACCAGCATATGACCACACTTCCAGACTCAATTATGGTCATATGTTGAAGACTACCTACACACAATATCCAGTATGATAGGAGACTTTAGTAGAGCACAGCAAAGGCAAGATTACATTTAACACAATGCTTTTAATTATTTTACCCACCATTTCGAAAGTAGTAGTTAGTCATATTCCTCAGAGCTCAAGGCTGCTGGAGAGAAAGACAGAATGCAAATATTTCCCCCACTATTAGTGGTCTTTCAGCTCTTGTTCCCTTTGTTAAAAAGGACTCTAAATTTTGCTATCTCCGTGGAAGAGGTAATTCTTCTCCATACATAACCAAAAGCAATGCCTCACTCAGATTGAATGTTTTACTATCTAATGCAAAACTCAAAATATACCCTGCAGTATTATGAACACAGATTTCTATTCACAAAAGTAATATTTTATATTCAGGATCAAATGCTCCTACACTTGAAACAATTAAGAGTTTGTAACTCTAGATACCTTTCTTGAGTTCAGTGAAAATATTTTTAAAGGAATTTAGATGTACTCCAAACCAATGCAAACTTGGACCTCCATCTATTGCCTAGTGCCTTACTGAGTTCTTCCTCAATTTCCATGCTTAATTTGTTGGGAGATAACCTTAACTTACAGTAAGTCTGGGCTTTCTTTAGGAATATGAATTTCATAAATTCATAGAGTTGGAAGGAGGCATTTAAATTTTTAGTCCTATCCCCTGCTCAGTTTGGGAATCCAAAATAAAACATCTATGATACTTGTAGCTTCTGTGTATAGCAAGGGTCTTCAAACTTAGCAAGTTTAAGACTTGTGAACTTCAACTCCCAGAATTCCTGAGCTAACATGACTGCAGGAGGAATTCTGGGAGTTGAAGTCCACAAGTCTTAAAGCTGTCAAGTTTAAAGACCTCTGGTGTATAGTATATAGCATATAGTATAGGCAACCCCATCATTTTTCTGGATAATTAGGCCGTATTAGTTGTTTTATGGAAGTTGCCATTGACTCTCTAGTCCAATTTAAAAAGATGCTTACTGAGTCTTTTTAGACTTTATATTTTATTCCACAGTCTTCTAGAGTTCAATATAAATTGCTTATCACTGAATCATATTGTTTCATTTCAATAATAAATAGACGCATATAGTTAGCCATATTCCTTCTATACTTGCAGGATGGAGCTTAGATGTGTCATTGCTGTAATACGGCATGGAGATCGGACACCAAAGCAAAAAATGAAAATGGAAGTTAAACACCAAAAGTAAGTATCTGGTGATAAAAAGAAATAGTGAAATATTTAAGTTGAATACTAAATTACTTTTTTTGTAATTTAGTTTTAGGGTTTGAACTCAGATGCGTTATACGACAAGTGACTTCCACGTATGTTGCGTCTGGTGCTTGCTGACTTGAAATCCTAGGGATTATACTTTAAACATAACTGAGAGGCCTCACATTGGGAAAATCCTCCTAGATATTTATTTCTAAATTTGATGAAATTCTTACGATATTAAAGTACCATAGGATACTACTGGGAAGTTTATACGGGTAGAGTGTGTGGTCTGGGGCTGCTGGAAAACCTGATGGCATGAATAGAAGTGTCCTAGGGGGGATGGACTTCCTGGTTTGTGACATGATTGGGACTCTTTAACCTAGAGATGGGCCAGCGAATTGGGGTGGGGTGGGGGAGGAATCTGGAATGTGTATGATAAGGATAGGCTAGAACATGTCTATAGTAATGGATGAGGAAGGCGTAGTGGGAGGGGGCTCACTTGGGAAACATAGCCCTGATGCTTTTCACAGGTGTTACATTGTAACACAATGTGTTGGACCCCATTTTCTGATCAACAGGCCTTTAGAGGTCATGACTTGGTTTCTGCTTCTGAATCAGAGTTCAGTCTGCAATAAGACCTCCTTCATCAGTGATCTATCACAAATAAGAGGGATAACCTAATGCTTAATATTGGAACCTGGATGGGATTTGAGGGAGGTGTTCCTTTCTTGAAGATGTACCTATACAGATTTTACTTTGTGCCATTAGTCAAGGACGAAGGACAGAGAGTGGAGGAGGCGCCATGGTATTCCAAGATTGGTGGCATTCATAGATTATTGAATGCAAGACCCTTTTTATTGGGTTCTAGGGATCATTAGGGGTTGTTGCTATTGTACCAGTCTCCCTGCTGTGCAGATTTCTCCTTTTAACATCTACATGAAACAACTGGTTAAGGTCATCTGATGGCACGGAGTGAGGATATCATTTGTTATACAGTATATGTATCGTTACATTTATGTCTACCCATGGCTGACCAAGTAGTACCCTGGAGATTCTTTCTCCATGTTTGGAAACAGGGGTCTCGAAGAGGAGGGACAGGCTTCAACTCAACCCACTGAGTGGCTCTGGTTTTGGAATCTTCAAGATATATCTTTATCTCTAGAGGATATTGCAGGATCCCAAACAGATACAGTACAATTTGGGTGTCTTTCTGGGCAGTGTTTCCTGTTTGAGGAACAGGTGGCAGCTGCAGACAGGATAACTTTTGCCAAACTTTGTGTTGTGCATGACCTGTAATCACCATAGGACTCATAGTCATACATACCATAGTGGTCTCCTAAATGGACTATTGAAAGATGCTTTATATTGGGCTGCTCTTCAAGAGCATCTGGAAACTGCTGTTGGTTCATAATCAGCAGTGTGGGCAATTATGTGTCGGATCCAATCTGTGTTGCTCATCTTGGACTCCAGCAAGAGTCTAAAAGCTCAGAAGACAAAACATCTGGTCCCAGTGACTGATCCAAATTGAATCCTGCCACTTTACCTTGGGAAACATATTCGTTTTCATTCGTAGTTATGTGTACTCCTTGACTGGTACATTTTTGTTCTATGAGTTGTGTTGGTTTCTATTGGGCTTCTGGGTTCACATAAGGGTGGTGGTAGTTATCTATCAAATTCATAGCATGGGATGGGTTATTTGGGAATCACCTCTCACTAATTGGGTTTACCTTTCTCATTAAATCTGGTGGAAGAGGCATGCTGTGACTCCATTTAAAAATGTTACATCTACATCTGGTGGACCCAGTGAGAGACCACTTTCTGTGGTGGCTCACACACTTCAGCATATCCCCAGATTTAGCATAGATAAGCTCTAAGCCTGTTTTCTTTTTATAAGGCTTAAAGAGTTGGCTATGTCATTGGGAATCGGGGTGTCAGTATATGAGAGTTCATGAATTGGAATAGAATGGTAACAGGTCAGCCAATGGGAACTGTTTGGTGACTGAGAAACAGCACCTGTTGTGAGCCAGATGGATTGGAGACTAGGTGTAGTTTAGGATTACTGATCTGTATATAAGAGTTAGTTTGTCCTTGGATCTTTACTCCTCTGTGATATTGCTTCTGTGCTTATATTGCTTCTAAAATTATGACTTCTGGATTCTGAGTTCTGGTTCTGACTTGGGTATCATACACATGCATTATACTGTATATTATACAAACAAGTTTTCTTCCATAAATGAATGCTGTGAATTATTTACTTGTGTGCTGGTTGGATTACTGCAAACTTCAGTGGGATCAGAATGTGGCACAGCCTGGATTATGTGCTTATTATGTTGTAACTGTGTTTTTCATTATTGTTAAAAGTCATCATTGATGGGCTGCCATATACTTTGTAATAAATAAATATGTTTTTTAATTGAACTTTTCTTTAAAAATTTGTAAATGTAAACCTCACTGAATTTTAAGGTAATCCTAATACGAGATAGTATTCAGCAAATACCTGTTTTTTAATGAAATAAATAACCGTTCTATCAATCAATTCATGGGAAGTTTGATATTTGTGCTATTATAATCAGCTAATGCTAGAATGTGAATCTGATTATATTGTGAAATAATTTAATCATTCCCTGTTTCTTTTAAAGATTTTTTGATCTTTTTGAAAAATGCAATGGGTATAAGTCTGGGAAATTAAAGCTGAAAAAGCCTAGGCAGCTACAGGTAAGGTTTCTTTTCTTTTCTTTTTCTTTTTTTAAAATCTTTTCTAGGTACTTGTATAATTATCAATTTTCACGAACTGCTTGTAAAATTGCCACTGTTTTTAGGAAGTACTTGATATTGCAAGACAGCTCTTAATAGAGCTAGGACAGAATAATGACTCTGAAATTGAAGAAAACAAATCTAAACTTGAACAGTTAAAGACTGTGTTGGAGATGTAAGTATTTTATTTCAAATTTTTTGATGTAATAAAAACACATTTTAAGAAAACTGTGTAAAGATCACCTGATTTTCATATCTACATCTGTAACTTTAGAACTAGTCCAATTTAGCTTGTTAGATTAGTTGCTAATTTAAACCTGATTCTGACTTTTGCTTTATTTGTTGGAAAATAAGTTGGTTGTATTAGATTCACTGAGACAATAATAAAGAAAGCAGATTTTTTTTGTTCTAGTATTTCTTTAAAGAAGGGGTTCCTGGTCCACTACCAGCCCATGGCTTATTTGGAACTGGGCCGTGCAAGAAGCAAGCCAGCACACATGTGCATGCAACTCCACTCACACAAGTTGCAGGCCGGCGCATGTGCGCAGCTGGCTTCACTCAGAGAAACAGCTGCGCGAGCGCATGTGCATGCTGTCCCTCTTTTTGTGTGCCCCAAGTTCCTGACCACCCAGCTGGGCTACCAGGCTGCAAAGATTGGGGACTGCTGCTTTAAAGGATCAGGGCCAACTCTTAATTTCATGGTAGTCTTTCTTTTGAAGAAATCATTATATTTTCAAAAATGGAAGCCCACATTTCTGTTTTGAGCAAAATATAAAAGCAATGTTAAAACACTGTTTGGATTTTTTTTCCAGAGTGGGATATAATTAGCAAGAAAGTGAGATAGGTGATGGAATGTATATTTCAGAATGTGCAAGAAGTCAGGACCTCTTTAGAATAATCATGCCTTTTTTGCAGACTTCCATGTGAGCAGAAAAACATGCCATCTTTAGTATGATTCTTTAAAGCAATTGCATCTGATTCAAGCTTGTCTGGAGGCCTGTGGAAAGATGTGGTTACTTTAAAGAGGTCCTGCACTACTCCTTCCCCATTTTAATTTGAGATTTCTGCTGAATCAAACAACAATACTTTCTAAGCCATATTACACAGGTAGTCCTTGACTCACCAATACTACTGTTTTGTGCCTGTTTGAAGTTACAGCGGCACTGAAAAAAATGTCTTATGACCATTTTTCATATTTAGGACTATTGCAGCATCCCCATGGTCATGTGATCAACATGCAGCTGCTTGGTAACTTGTTCATATTTATGATGGTTGCAATGTCCAATGTCTTTTGACACCTTCTGATAAGCAAAGTCAATGGGGAAGTGGGATTCACTTAACAGCCATGTTACTCATTTAACAACTGCAGTGATTTACTTAGCTGTGGCAAGAAAGGTTGTAAAATGGGGCAAAATTTGTGCAACAACTGTCTCACTTAGCAACAGATATTTTGGGGATCAATTGTGGTCGAGGACAACCTGTAGACATACACCCTACATTTATTAATTAAACTTTCTGCATGTATGAAATCTTTTTCTATGAAGCCAGTTTATTTCAAGTATGTTAATTACTACATTATTAAAGAATGGGCAAAAAATTATAATATGTTAATATGTTTTATTGCTTTTCTTGATCTCTGCTATGGTAATTATATAAGACAATGAGCCCACAAATAAGCAAGAATTTTACGTGCCAGAATGCATCCAAAAAATCAGGTTTAGTTTATCCATGGATAGGCTTTTCCATGAGTATATATGGTAAAGTACATACGAAATAAAACATGGTTAAAAAAAATACAGTTGTCTTATCTGTGGGTGGAACATCTTTGTTGGTATTTTGGTTAAAAATGTGAACAGTAAACATGGTTGTTTTCTCTCCATATAGCAAAATATAGTTAAAATCCATCAGTTCATCTGATTTGTTGTATTTCCTTTGCCAGTATTGTGTGATTTTTAATATTATCACTGCTGTTTTTAGGTATGGACATTTTTCTGGCATAAATCGCAAAGTACAACTGACTTATCTTCCTCATGGTTGTCCTAAAACATCTAGTGAAGAAGAAGGTACCTTGGTTATTTTTAGGAACTAATTTCCATCAATTAGTTTATTTATTTAATCCTAGAAATACAGTTATACCCTTAGAGCCTTGTGAAAGGTCAACAGGTTAGGGCCAATCTGATTATTCTTTGAATTGATCAGTAGGTGCATTGAATTGATTAATATCAATACATAAATTCAGTTTATAATATTTTCTTCATCTTGGTTAGAAGTCTAAAGGCAACTTTATAGTCACATTCTAATATAATCAAACGGCAGTTCTAAACAAATATATAGGAAATATGATCACTGAAGATCCATAAACATATTTCTGAATAGCTCTGTATAGGATTTTAAATATTGCTTTTTACTTATTTCTGCATGGATCAGATAACATCCCTTCATTTTTTTATTTCAGAATAATTTGCCATATAGAATAGAATTCTTTATTGACAAAGTATGACTGGACACACAAGGAATTTGTCTTTTGTGCATATGCTCTCAGTGTACATAAAGAAAAAATAAAATAAATTCATCAAGAATTATAAGATACAACACTTCGTGATAGTCATAGGTTACTAATAAGCAATCAAATCATACTAGGAAACAAATAAAACAATATAAATTGTAAATTTACAAGTAACATGGTTAGATAGCATAACATGGTTATATAGCATAATAAAATATATATAATTATATAGCATAAAGTATTGCTGTTTCAAAATCAAATTCTATTCACTACAGCATACAGAATTAATATCAATATTCTTTGGATTGTCCCAGTTGAAAAGTAACATTTGTTTCACCTTGGCTTTTGAACGTAAGTTAAAAAAAAATCTTTTACTTGCTTTGTTTGTATTTAGATAACCGCAGACAAGAGCCATCTCTACTCTTAGTTCTGAAATGGGGAGGAGAATTGACACCTGCAGGTAGAGTTCAGGCAGAGGAACTAGGAAGAGCTTTCCGATGTATGTACCCAGGTGGACAAGGTATCTTATCTTTCTTTGTAATGGCTTCTCTATGAAAAGAGAAAATCTACAGAAACAAATAAGAAACTTCACTTTTTGCTTCGGTAGGTGACTATGCAGGATTTCCAGGATGTGGCCTACTTAGATTGCATAGTACCTATCGGCATGATCTCAAAATCTATGCATCTGATGAAGGAAGAGTTCAAATGACAGCCGCAGCTTTTGCAAAGGTAGTACAACGTCAGTAGAAAATATGAAATGTGTATAGGTTACTTGTAGGAGGAGTTCAGGTCCTTTGCAATTTTATATTTATACATAGGAAAGAAAACTTCATTCATTCTTTCAATGCAAAATGGACTACTTCATCAGTACTTAATCAGCGTCAACATTTTTCAACCAATTTGCATGAAATGTATAAATTACTTCTTTATTGAATAGAAAAATATATTTTAGTGTGCATAAAGAATTGCATGCAATGTGATACAAAAATAGAGCTAAAAAATAAAAATTGCATTCATGTATTTCTTTGAGCCTAGTTAATTTGAGTCTAATTAGGTAGCTATTCTGTCAAGATTTTTTTAAATTTCATTTATATACATTCTTTATTACCAATATATTTTGAATTGAAATTAGAGAATGATATTGTAGATATTCTCAACCAGCCTTTCCCAAACTTGAAACCCACCAGATTGAAATTTTAATTCACACAAAATCCTTTGCACAAACTTCACAATGGATCATGTAACATGACATATCCATTTCTAATTAATGTGTGTGTGTTTGTATTTGATTTTCCTTCTCCTACTTTCCCCACAAGAACCATTTTGTAAGGTGGATTGAGCTGAAAGAGTGTAATTGACTCAGTCATCCAGCCAATTTCTACACCTAAGGGAGTACTAAAACTCATTCTGCTCAGTTTCTACTCCAGCATTTTAGCCACTAACTAAACTAGCTCTCCTGTATGAATTAATTCATTTCAAAAATTTTCAATCTGTGATGTCCTATTCCTAAATGCAAATTAATACTTGAATATACAATCACAAGTTCTGAAAATGCCTTTCGATTAAAATGAAGTGATTTAGGAGTGGTGAAAATCTCAGTGGCTGTTCACTAAACATATTATGTCTATTAATTTTTGTTACAATTGGCTGAATTCATACATAATGGCAAGCTACAAACCTTATTTTTCAAACTGCAGTGGCTAAATTCATGCTATATGTTACTCCCAAACTTCACAATATTATTGTTTAGCACAATGTGTACACAATGAGTGTGGCAGATTGCTGAACAGAATTGTGATTGTTTTTGTTTTGCTTAATGCTGTTTTTATTGTGTAACCGTTTGTAAGTTTGAATAGTCTTCAGCAGTTTGAAATGCTTGGAATATTGTTCCTCATTTTGGTAATCAAATCCCAAACCCAAATTATACAGTTGAAAATGGTGCCCAGTAACAAAATAAAAATGATACAGAGCTGAAGCAAGTGATTCTATGACAAAACATAATGCTTATATCTTTTTAACTTACTAAGAAAATAAAAAGAAGTTGTAAGGGAACCTGAAATAAAACATACAGGTGAAATTCAAAAAATTAGAATATCGTGCAAAAGTTCATTTATTTCAGTAATACAACTTAAAAAGTGAAACTAATATATGAGATAGACTCAGTACATGCAAAGCAAGATAGTTCAAGCCATGATTTGTCATAATTGTGATGATTATGGCTTACAGCTCACGAAAACCCCAAATCCACAATCTCAGAAAATTAGAATATTACATGCAATCAATAAAACAAGAATTGTACATTGAACAATATCGGACCTCTGAAAAGTATAAGCATGCATATGTAGTCAGTACTTGGTTTGGGCCCCTTTTGCAGCAATTACTGCCTCAATGCGGCATGGCATGGAAGCTATCAGGCTGTGGTATTGCTGAGGTGTTATGGAAGACCAGGATGCTTCAGTAGCGGCCTTCAGCTCTTCTGCATTGTTCGGTCTCATGTCTCTCATCTTTCTCTTGGCAATGCCCCATAGATTCTCTATGGGGTTCAGGTCAGGCAAGTTTGCTGGCCAATCAAGCACAGTAATCCCACGGTCATTGAACCAGGTTTTGGTGCTTTTGGCAGTGCGGGCAGGTGCCAAGTCCTGCTGGAAAATGAAGTCAGCATCCCCATAAAGCTCGTCTGCGGAAGGAAGCATGAAGTGCTCCAAAATCTCCTGGTAGATGGCTACCTTGACCCTGGACTTAATGAAGCACAGTGGACCAACACCAGCAGATGACATGGCTCCCCAAATCAACACAGACTGTGGAAACTTCACACTGGACTTCAAGCATCTTGCAGTGTGTGCCTCTCCATTCTTCCTCCAGACTCTGGGTCCTTGGTTTCCAAATGAGATGCAAAAGTTGCTCTCATCAGAAAAGAGGACCTTGGACCACTGAGCAACAGACCAGTTCTTTTTTTCTTTAGCCCAGGTAAGACGCTTCTGACGTTGTTTGTTGTTCAGGAGCGGCTTGACAAGAAGAATACGACATTTGAAGCCCATGTCCAGGATCCATCTGCGTGTGGTGGCTCTTGATGCACTGACTCCAGCCTCAGTCCACTCCTTGTGAAAGTCCCCAGCACTTTTGAATGGCCTTTTCCTGACAATCCTCTCCAGGCTGCTGTCATCCCTGCTGCTTGTGCACCTTTTTCTTCCATACTTTTCCTTTCCACATAACTTTCTATTAATGTGCTTTGATACAGCACTTTGGGAACATCCAACTTCTTTTGCAATTACCTTTTGACACTTTCCCTCCTTATAGAGGGTGTCAATGATGGTTTTCTGCACAACTGCCAGGTCAGCAGTCTTTCCCATGATTGTGCTTCCTACTGAACCAGACAGAGACCATTTAAAGGTTCAGGAACCCTTTGCAGGTGTTATGGCTTAATTAGCTGATTAGAGTGGGACGCTTTGAGCCTAGAATATTGAACCTTTTCACAATATTCTAATTTTCTGAGATTGTGGATTTGGGGTTTTCATGAGCTGTAAGCCATAATCACCTCAATTATGACAAATCATGGCTTGAACTATCTTGCTTTGCATGTAATGAGTCTATCTCATATATTAGTTTCACTTTTTAAGTTGCATTACTGAAATAAATGAACTTTTGCACGATATTCTAATTTTTCGAGTTTCACCTGTAGTGTAGAAAAACTGAACAGGAGTCTCCCTCTATCTATTATAATGCAAGTTTAGAATCATCACATAAAAAAGAAGAGATGATAAACCTATAATGGATTAAAATAGTATTTCCTCACTGCAAATATAAATATATTTGGTATCACGTTGTGATGGGCAGTTTTAGAATTATTTATCTGTGTGTAAGTTGTAAGGCAGTTCTTCTCTCAAATTCATAGGTAACAGTCACTTATTTATAGAATATATATATTCTGCTTAGTTTGAGACTTAATATACTAAGTTCTATTCACTAACTTTATTTTCCCCAGGGTCTATTGGCATTGGAAGGGGAACTCACACCTATACTTGTGCAAATGGTTAAAAGTGCTAATATGAATGGTCTATTGGACAGTGACAGTGACTCTCTTAGCAGCTGCCAACATCGTGTGAAGGCACGCCTTAATGAAATTCTCCAAAGAGATAGAGACTTTACTTCTGAGGACTATGAAAAGGTTAGAAAATACTCTATAGATAAATTGAAATTATGAAAGATTTTACAGGAAAGGTTGTACAAGTCTATTTGGAGGAATATGTCAGGCATCTGTTGGATAATGTTGCTTGAATCCACTCCCAGTTGGACACCAGTCTTTATACAGGTCCCTTGAAGTGTCTAGGTACAGTCTTGCTGTGTTATCTGATAGTGTGAACCTGTTAGACCTTATGAAATGGACAGATTTCTCATTAGTGTGAGTATGGCCACACTATATTAGATTCATGTCCCCATTGCCTGAATACTAAGAGGTGATATTTAGCCAAGTCTTGGCTGTAGTGAACTCCTCTTAAAGAAGTGCTGGTTCACCCATCCAACAAGCCATCCATTAGACCCAATCATACTAGACAATTTTTGTTCAGCCTTACATGGTTAGAGAAGGTAGTTGCACAACAGCTTTCAGGTTTCAGACCTGCGTATGGGATTAAAATAGCACTCTTGTCACTTTTGGATGACTTCTGGTATAATGCATTGATTCTTGCTCCTCTTGACCTCTTGGTAGCCTTTGATGTTATCAACTGTGGTATCCTTCTGAATCCATATTCCTGAAATCTGATTGCTGATTAGGTTTAATATTTTGTTTATATGTATGCTTTATATACTTTCATGTCTTTTTATATTGCATTTTGTTTAGTTATGTGGTTGTTTATAAGTTGTAAGACATCCAGAGTCATGTACTTGAGATGTGTGGCTGTGTAAATAGAAGAAGGGAGAGAGGGAAAGAAGAAATATAAACTACCCTCAGGAAGAAAGAGACATATGGTTAATCATATGGAAAGCTGCTGAGATTTCAGGAAACTAAAAAGGTTGTACTCCCTGATCTTGGTCTCTCCAAAGATCATTCACTAACATGTGGAGTACAAATTCCATGATGTGCCTAAGTCTAAAGCCTAGTTGTCTGATCAAAATGATATACTTTTTGTGACTTTCTGGAGTTGTTAAATACAACATATATATTATAATATGTAGTTGTAGTGACATGATTTGAAATATTAAAGTAAGAGAGCTAATGGAAAATAAGACAAAGCTAGACATCAGTTAAATTGAATTTTGTCAATCCGATTAGAACTAATAAACATAATTGTTGGATATAGTAATTATTTCAAATTAGTATTTCTTTTAGCTAAGGTTTTTTACTAGTATACAGGTAGTCCTCGACTAACGACCATAATTTAGCCCAAAATTTCAGTTTCTAAGCAAGACATTTGTTAAGTGAGTTTTACTCCATTTTACGACTTTTCTTGCCAGAGTTGTAAAAGGGGATTACATCACCCCAGAACACTGCAACCATCTTAAATATGAGGAACTTGCCAAGTGTCTGAATTTTGATCACATGACCCAGGGGGATGCTGCAAAGATCATAAATGCGAAAAATGGTCATGTCACTTTTTCAGCGCTGTTGTAACTTTGAACGGTCACTAAATGGTCATTAAATGAACTGTTGTAAGTCAACTGTTGTATTTAAAAGATAAGTAAAAATGTTTTTGATAAGTTTTACTCATATAGGATAGCACATTTTAAAAATACATATTTTTCAGGGATTAGGATATCAGATGCTATACATGTAGACTATAAGTATTATAGCTTACATATTTCTTTTTGGTCTGATACTACAGTTGACACCATCTGGCAGCATTTCTCTGATAAAATCAATGCAAGTGATAAAAAATCCTATTAAGACATGTGATAAGGTATATTTCTTAATCCAGAGTTTGACATCTCAAATCAAACAACGAATGGAAGATCCTAAATTTGCAGGTAAACAATTTCCTTGATCAGGCTGATTGATAATATTACTTGCACATATTTATTTTATATTAGGACAATCTTTGTATTAATTCAGGAACAACTTTCAAAATAAAAAAATGTAATAGTTTGCCCAATAACTGTTAGCTACTCTAATATATTAATAGCAAATTAACTTCACTAATGTAGATTGCTATGTAAATAAAATAGCAGTAACTTCGCGCAAGAAAGAACATAACAATAGGCTTAGTTAAGTACCAGAATTGCAGAAGTACAAATTATTTTAGAAGTACAAACAAAAATATCACAAAGTTGAAAGCAAAGCTCTGAAGCTTAAAGAATGGGTGGATATATTTCTTTAATGTCTATGATAATCTCCCTTCATTTTACTTTAATCAACTCTCATTATTGCCTTTTAATAATTGTTCAACTAGATATTCAACTTTATCACAGCGAAACATTGGAACTAATGCTGCGTAGATGGGCCAAGCTTGAAAAAGACTTTAAAACAAAGAATGGAAAATATGATATAAGTAAAATCCCAGATATCTATGACTGCATAAAATATGATGTTCAGCATAATGTCTCTTTAAAGCTAGAAAATACAATGGAATTGTACAGACTGTCAAAGGCATTGGCTGATATTGTGATCCCTCAGGTATGTACATTGGCGCTTACATAGTACACTCATTATAATAAAATGGCTATGTTCTCCAGACCATATTTACAAACTGTTATGGAAATGAATAAATTTACTGTCTCAAAATGCATTTATATTTCATAAAGCAGTTATGAACTATCACAAACTGAAAAGCGGTACTTCTTTACCTTATTAAATTGAGGAATCTAATATACAGGTATACGACATGTATCTTGTTGACATTAGACTGAATCTAGGATAATGGTGCAATTCGAAATTTATTTATTCAGTTGTGAATCCTATACAGTTCATTAGATTTTCTCCTAGATGTAGTCTTGTATCAGATAACTAGATTATTTTAATGTAGCTTCCAATAGAATCATGGGACATATTGGTTGCATCTTGTGATTAACTCAGATCTACCACAAAAGAAGGACCAAAAACACGGTTCACGAAATTAAAATATGATGATTACATGATACACTATTAAGAATATGAGTCCATACAAGGAAATAGAATTGTAATGATACTCAAAGAATGTTGCTAAATAGATAATTTAGTAATATACAGTAAACAACAGGATCACCTAGATTAGAATTAATGGAGCTATAGCGATAACCATCAATTTAAATAAGTTGTGGAAGACATTGAAAAAAATATTTGGCAAAGTGCAAGGATTGCTAAAAACAGCATCTGAGAAGCATATAAAAGTGCTAATGGGTGATTGGGATGCAAACGATCAATGAAATGGAGGAATTGGAGTTATAGATGGATTTGAATTAGGTTAATGCAGCCATGTAGAAGATAACCTAAATGTATCGTTTTAAGTTACATTTTTCAAATAAAATTATTTATTACTAATAATTATTTGATTCATACAGAATACAAAATAACAACAATAATAATATAACTTTGTTATTATAAACAAAATATCAATATAAAATAACAAAATAAAATGTTTATGGAACAATATAAACACAATATATATTTGGACCTTAGCAGATAGGCAATATTATAATGCAAAACAAAAATGGTGGTTTTGCACCAGGAAGCCAATGCGATTAGAATTGGGACTCATATTAGGACATGTATCCTCTCATTTTGTCTAAAGCTCTTCCCCATCTCCCATGGGTTTGCCTCTCCCTGCTTTAATCGATTATTTTGTTTTAATTGTTTAAGAATTGAAGTAGAATCCTTTTATCAACTCATGATATTATGATGATGGAACATAAATGATCCCCTGAAATATCCTAAGTAAAAATAATGGCATATTTTTAGTCATAATGTGAGCAAAAATGTGCTTGTCTCCACAACATCTTTATTACAGAGAAGCTCCATTTTAACTATCTTAGCTGAATCCAAAGGTGATTTAAAGCCTTATTATAGTATAAAGGTAAGGAGGAAATAACTGATTCTCCCTCCAGTGAATATTGTATCCTTTACCTCTTGTCCCTGCAATAAAATAAGGCTTTCAAAATATATCTAGTGAATCCAGTGGATGCATTTTCTGGAAGAATCTATCTAAAAACTTGCTTAGGGCTGCTTGTTCGTATCAAGCAGCCTTACCTATTTTAATATATGGTCCTACTAACTAACGTACGGGCCCTGCTCAAAGCTATGTGAACTCTGATTGAAACAAGTTCTCTGCTGCAGCTGTCATTGCTTAGGCCCCATTCTCTGTTAGGTAGCTTAATCCTAGGGGCTCATATCTATATCATTGCTCTCTGAGTTGACATGCCTTACTGTCTTCAGGAAATGTAGCACTTTACAACTTAGCAAAGAATTGCAATGGTTTGGGTTTTTTTTGTTTTTTTGAGTCCAGAGGCAGATCCAGCAGCAGGACAAGGATCAGAGGCTCATACTTACAACCGTCTACTACAGTGAAATTACCTGAAAGTGAAATTACTTCATTAAGGGCTTAGGTAGAAATAGGTACTTATCTAACAAATTGAGTTATAGATTGAGAGGGAATTTTCAGGAATATCCAAGTTCATTTTCACATTTTTTCACTTAAGGAATATGGTATTACCGAGGCTGAAAAATTAGAGATTGCTAAAGGTTACTGCAATCCACTATTGAGGAAAATTCGGTCTGATCTTCAGAGGACTCAGGATGATGATACTGTTAACAAACTCCATCCTTTGTAAGTTTTTTAAAACATTTTTTCAACATTATTGAAGCCCTTTTATAACAATAAATGTAGCTAAATATTTAAAAATGATAACCTCCAGTCCTTCTATGAAGCCTGTATAATTTTAGCAATTAAAAAATCCTATGGTCATTATGTATACATGATCACAAACATGATAAATTGAGGCACTTGAACTTAATTTCTGTTAAACTTTCAAAAAAAATTATATTTTAGTATATCACATGTCACACTCACAGTTTAGCTTCCAGGCAAAGTTCTGATAAGATTCTGATTTTGATCAAGGATGCACAGATTATCAAATACACACAACATTATATTCTGCAGCTTAAAACAAGGATTCAACTTTAGACAATTCAGAATGTAAAGTATATTTTTATTAAACATAAATGTAGCACTGATTAGGATTTCAGAGTGAGGAACTTGAAATTTAGATCCAAAGTATGGATTCATAAAGGTTGTATAAAATTTAAGCACCAAAACCAAAAATATACTGTTTGATGCCTTAGTTAATTAATCATGGAACAGATGAAACTTGATACAGAAACTTAAATGGTGTGCCTAATTCATTATTATTATTATTAGAAAACTGGGAATGTTTGTTTGTTAATGTTTAGATTTTAGGTCTAGAATTTTTAGATTTTTAGATTTGTAAAATAGTGTATGCAATGTATGGTGCCCTTTACTCACTTACCTAATTTTATTTTTAGGTATTCTAGTGGGGTTATGTCTCCTGAACGTCACGTTCGAACTAGGCTGTACTTTACCAGCGAGAGTCATGTCCATTCCTTGCTTTCAACTCTTCGCTATGGTTCTTTATGTGATGTAAGTGTTTCAGTGGCATTCCTTTTCAGAATCACCGAAGCTAAGATACATGTAATAATCAACTCAATACACTACTTATTCAGTAATAATTTTTATTATAATAAAATAAGATGAAGGATTATCTAAAAAGTCATCATAGTTGACTTCTAATCATTTCAGTAATGGAAACATTGATTAGTTTGCAAAAATCGTGTTACCTTTTTATGATTTCATTGTGCTATAAAACATAAGAAAATACTAGTTAATATTTATTTATTTATTTAGTGTATGGCAAATACATGGACTTATACTGGTTCAAATGTTAATGTCCAGTCCACCCAGCCATTCAAGGACAGGGTGATCTATGTTGAAAAAAATCAGACATTGGGCCAATGTAAGCTCTTGATGGACATTCGGAAACAATATATAAAGTTAATTTATAAAACTAAACTAAGGTTTAAAGCAATGTTTTGTTTGAAAAGCTTAGTAGCCTGGTTTGCATGTTAATGGATTTGCTAGTAAGTTAAAAATAATGTGCAAAAAATAAATGCTTTAGTATTAATTTCTGGCTGGTAATGTGTCTTTATTTTTCTGATATTTTACTTGTTATCACTTGATAAGTTAATGTATAACACTGAATTATAAAATGTATCAATTGAAGATACATTCAGAATGCCTATATGGTAAATATGTTTAAGATTGCAACTTACAATTAGTTTAATATAAGTGTTAAGGTAAAAAGGGGGATCAACACAGACAATATTAAAAAAAAAGTGGTATTTACATTTTTACTTAAGGCATCAAAAGATGAACAGTGGAAGAGAGCTATGGATTATCTCAATGTTGTCAGTGAACTCAATTACATGACCCAAATAGTTATCATGCTGTATGAAGATCCAAATAAGGTAAGGAAACAATAAACAATAATTTAAGAGAAAAGCTAATTGCATATAGTCAGAATATGACTTGACTTATCCATTTATTTAGGAGGTTTCATCAGAAGAACGCTTCCATGTAGAGTTACATTTTAGTCCAGGAGCAAAAGGCTGTGAAGAAGATAAAAACTTGCCATCAGGTTTTGGTTACAGACCTGCTTCACGGGAGGTAAGCGCTTCTAGAAATGTTTCTCATATGAAACTTAAAGAGCACTTTTCATGTAATTTCACAGCATTTGGTTGCTTAAATAAAAATATCCAGTGTTTGGTTTAAGTTTAGCAACTTCCCACATATATTTGGAGATGTATTTAACTACTTTAAGCCAGACAGTACTGCACTCTTCCCATGTAATTGTGTAAAATAGAAGCCAGTCTATTAAGTGATAATTAGCAAGGACTTGTATTACAAATTGAATAGGAGTGCTGGTATAACAGTATTGAAGTCTTTGTTATTAGATATATTTGATTTTTACTACTTTTCAATATGGAGAAAGTATAATAGATCTTGTTTAACAATTGTCATGATTACTGACCATTAGAAGCTATAATGGCACTGAAAAAGTAATTTCCTAACTGGTCCTCATATTTACAAAGTCCCCGTGGTAAAATGATTGAGATTTGGGCATTTTGCAACTGGCAGGCATTTATCACAGTGTTCTGCAGTCATGTGATTTCCATTTGTGTGTTTTGCAACTGGCTTCCAACAAGTAGAGTCAATGGAGAAGCTGGCAATAAAATCACAAGTGGTAGTCTCTTAACATCACTTGATTTATAACTGAATGGGAATGACATTGTAAGTGTCATAGATGCAACACCGGACATTTCTAGTTACGGCCATGATATGTAATATTCAAGGGAATGATACTTTTAGTTTGCTTGATGAAATGTTATTTATTTTATTTTATTTATTTATTTGATTTGACAATCTCTTACAAGGTAATAGATATAAGTATAAACATGAGTAAGAATACAGGAAATAGGTACAAATAAATGGGGACAATAGGACCAGGACAGGAGAAACGATGGTGCACTTATGCACGCCCTTTACAGACTTCTTAGGAATGGGGTGAGGTCAATAGTGGTTAGTTTGAGGTTAAAGGAGTGGGGGTTAGAGGGTGTAACAATAGAGTCAGGTAATGCATTTCAGGCATTGACCACTCTGTTGCTGAAGTTGTACTTTTCTGCAATCAAGTTTGAAGCAGTTTACATTGAGTTTGTATCTGTTGTGTTCTCTTGTGTTGTGGTTGAAGCTGAAGCTGAAGTAGTCATTGACTGGTAGGACATTGTAGCAGATAATTTTTCGTGCTATGCTTAAGTCTAACCATAGGTGGCGTAGTTCAAGGTTGTCCAAGCCCAAAATCTCAAGCCTGGTGATAGAGGGTATTCCGTTGCGAGCAGAGGAATCTAGTACTCTTCTCGTGAAATACTTCTGGACTCGCTCGATTGTATTAATGTCTGATATTCAGTGCAGATTCCAGACTGATGAGCTGTATTCGAGTATTGGTCTGGGAAAAGTTTTGTACACTCTAGTTAGCAATTCGATATTTCCAGAGGAGAAGCTTCATAAGATTAGATTTACAACTCTTAATACCTTTTTGGCAATGCTGTTACAGTGAGCTCTGGTGCTTAGGTCATTTGATATGAGAACTCCAAGAGTGAGGATCATCAACGAGGTCATATCCGCCTAGTTTGTATTTGGTGTACTGATTTTTTTTTTTATCAATGTGTAGGACAGAGCATTTGTTGGTCGAGATTTGGAGTTGCCAGATGTTTGACCATTCAGACACATAATCAAGGTCGCTTTGAAGGATAGTAGCATTGTCAGTGGTATTGAATAGTTTTACATTATCTGCAAAGAAGACACAGTTGCTTATAAGGTGATCGCAAAGGTCATTTATATAGAGTATAAAGAGTGTGGGTCCTAGAATGCTGCCCTGGGGGACACTGCTGTTAACTAGAGCAGAATTTGATATAGCACTCCCTATTTTTACTATTTACTCCCTATTTGACAGGAATGCAGTAATCCACTTATGGAGGGATCCGGAAATGCCGTAAGAGTTTAGTTTTAACAGTAGTTTGTCGTGTACCACTGAATCAAAGGCTTTGCAGGAGTCTATATAAATTGCATCTATAGCTTTACCCTGGTCAAGTAGAGTAGTCCATATGCTTCTGCAGTGTAGGAGTTGTAGATTGCAGGACATTTTTTTCCTGAAACCAAATTGTTTTTGGGAGAGTAGGTTGTTTGACTCTAAGTGGAAAGTGATGAATTGGTTGATGATTGATTCCATGGCTTTGCACATGACACAACACAGTGAGATTTGTCTGTAGTTTTCAACCAAGCTGGGGTCACCTTTTTTGAAGATACGGATGACCGTAGCTAAGGACCATAGGTTTGGTAAGGAGCTGGTTCTGAATGATATCTTATATATAATGCTTAGGGGTTCCGCTATGGCAGAGGAGAGGTTTTTTAAGAAATATGCACATAATCCATCGGGGCCAATAGATAGGGATGGTTTTAGGTTTCGTAGTGTCTTTTCTACGTTATCTTTTGTAAAGTCAATATGGAGTAGGTCATTACAGTTAGTTGTGGTACGACTAGGGAATGTGGGGTATGAACCTTTGCTGTTTATAAAGACTGAAGAATGTGTTGAAGAGATTGGCCTTAACAGCTTCATCGTTGCAGTCTTTCCCATTTGGTCCTTTTAGGGGTGGGATGGTTCTTGATTCTTTAAGTTTGGTATTAACAAAATTATAGAAGGCGCAGGTAGATTTTGTACATAGGAAGTTTTCCTCTTGCTTGCAGTGGTAATTTGTGCATTCTGCCTTTATCTGTTGACATAGGATGTTATATTGATTTTTAAAGTTTGCTACGTAGCTAGTTTTGTTCTTACGTCATAGCAATCTGTTTTTTTTTTATTGAAGTTTCTTTATTGTTATGGGTAATTTGTTGTTGTTTTTGTTTTTGTTTTGGGGGGGGTTATTAATGGTACATATAGTTTGATGACTCTTTCAAGTTCAAACAAGAATGCATTATAATGGTCTTCTGTAGTATTACAGCTAGAGAACAGAATGTGCCAATCAACAGATGATATGTCAGCATCTATGAGATCATAGTTGGCTTTTTTGAAGTTGTATTTTGGGGATCCATCTTTATGATCTTCTTTATGAGGGCATAAATTGAGACAATAGTCATTTTCATATAACATTAAATATATGTTTTATTTTAGAATGATGATTCAAAGCAAACATCCCGTAGAAATGAGAATGATGAGGACCCTCATGCTTATAAAAGAGATGAAACTGATCGTTCAATAATGATGTTCAAGCCAATGGTGTCAGATCCAATTCATATACATAGGAAATCACCTCTTTCAAGACCCAGGAAAATGGGCTCAGCAGAAGTAAGTATAGATATCCCAGTAATTTTTTAAAAAAATTAGAGTTCTTCCCCAACTAATCAATATAATTGATTTTGGTGATCCTGCACAATTACTAAACATACTAATATAGTGATTAGTTGATTGATTGTGTACCATCAAATCACTATCAATTCCTAGCAACCATAAAGATAGATCTTCTCCATGACAGTCTATCCATAACATTGCCTTTGAGATTTTACAAGGGTGCACACATTCCCACAATAATCTTATATACAGTTTACTTAACTATAATATTATACAGTCAAGAAGACAGTCAAGGAACAAAGGGAAAATCATTTTTTTAAACAGTTTATGTAGAGAAAGTCTACATATCTCTGAACAACAATTATAAAACAGAATTAGTGAACCTTTTGTAGATTTTTGGAAACTAGCAGGCCATGAGACCTACTAACATAATTAGATAAATTGGGAATATTTGGTCTGTGGTCTATGACTGTAATAAACTGAATTAAATTGGGAATATTCAATCAGTGTTTCTGGCTCTATAAAACAGGCAACATGCATAACTTGCTCAATTTCCTCCACCAGGTATGACATGAATACTCTTGCACCGAAAGGTTATATTCCCTTCCATTCCTTGTCCCTAATTAGGTTTTTAAAAATTAATTCAGAAGTCTTTTATATTGTGATGATGTCATCTTTCTTGATTGCTTGGCTGATTATTTCTACTATGTTTTATTTTTTTGGTTTAATTTTTTAAAGATTATTTACAATTGCTTACTTAATTTAGTTTTGTACCATGGATGTTTTAATGACATGATTATAACCTGCTGACTGAGACAGAAATGCAGTATTAATAGACCGAAAGTTCTGTTGGGAAGAACTTCCCAACTACTGTCATAGTTTTTGGATGATGTTCTAATTTTTTTCTGGTAACATTGCCAAATAATCTATACTTACTTCAGTTCCATTTTAACTCAAAACTAAAGAAAGCCAAAGTATTGGGCATAAATGAAAATAAATTTCAGCCATAATTTTAAATTATAGAACGGCATGTGAACATAATATAGTGAACATAATCCCGATTCTACATGCAATAAAAAATTGAGATACTCCTTGACATTTGAAATGTGGATTAGCAAAAATTGTAACATGAGGTGGTCTGATTCAGGAAGAAAGATTTGCTATAATTAATATTTCAGTGGCTGAAGAAAAAGACCTAAAGAACAACGCATCCTGTATGCTAATATTTCACATTTTTATTCTGAGGAAGGAGTAATATTAGTAGAACAGTAATTCCAAAAATATTTGGCAACTTTATATAACTGAATTTTTAGATTTTTAACTGGTTTAAGTAGGCATGTTGCAAGCAGTTTGGTGCAGTGGTTAAGATATCAGGCTAGAAAGCCAGAGTTTGAGTTCTACATAGTCCCTCTTTAGGCCCAAAGTCAGCTGGTTGACCTTAGGACAGTCCTTCCCTCTCAGCCTATGGAAGCAAGCAGTAACAAACCACTTCTGAAACATCTTGCCAAGAAAACTGCAGGGACTAGACCAGGCAGTTGCAAGTGGTCAAAAAATGACTTGAAGAGGAGAAAAAAACCCAAACAGCTAAGAGTAATTAGCAGAGGTCTTTAAACTTGACAGCTTTAAGACTTGTAGACTTCAATTCCCAGAATTCCTCCTCCAGTCATGTTAGCTTGGGAATTCTGGGAGTTGTCCACAAGTCTTAAACTTGCCAAGTTTGAAGACCCTTGAACTAAGGCACTAGATAATCTGGAAGTAGTGGTTTGACAGCAAACCTCCTTGCTTCTGCTTTGTACTCCACAGCAGAAGTGTTTAGTACTCCAAATTGTCCATGTGTGTTTCTTCTAGCATGACTTGAAGTATAGAAAATCTTCCTTTGTCTGCTGTAGGTCTTAAGATTCCTCTTAGTCTTTTTAAAAAAGTATATTCTGCTTTCTTGAAGTTCTATCAGCCTATTAAGTATATTAGTAACCATTATAAGAACAGTAGCTCAAATTTGGCAGAGATAAAATTGCTTAAACAATGCTGAAGTGTAGCAAAAATAAGAATTGATGTTCCTCTTGGCATTTGCTGTCATAGCTATCCTGTCTTTGGTCATCAGATAAGTTACCTTCAGTGGCATCCACAGTGACAATCACTAGCTTCAAAATAATAGCCCTGTCCCCTTTTAATGTGCTTTGAACACATTGCACACATCCATTTTAGAGCCAGTTGCTGCAGACATCTCCTAATCCTTACTGTAGGATCTCCTCCTTCTGTCAATGGAGAATTCAATGTTAGCTCCAGGAGATCAGGATTCACAGGCCACTTAATGTGAAATCTTGTGACATAAACTTCTATTTCCCAACAATTGCTGTACATAATGTATATCTTGTTATTTTGAACCCTTCCACTTCCACTGTTATTTTGAACTCTTGCACTGAATTGACACAAGAACGCTTCTGAGTTAGCTGGTCTGTTGAAAGCAAATTTTGTAATTTGTCCTTCCTTTACTATATTTCTGTAACATTTGTCACAATAATGGAAAAATGTATTACTGTAATAGCATAAATACTTTTATTAAATTTCAACAGCTTATAATTTTTAATGACATACGAATATTTTTGAAACATGCTTTCTTTCAGGATGCAAAAAGATCTGCTATAACAGTATTATACCTATCCTCTCTAGCTTTTGATTTATACATGTGAGTTCTATTAGTTCTATACCAATTAAAATCTTAATTTACTGAACGTAGTTATTTGAAATGTAAATGTGGGAAGCTTGAAAATATTGTTACGCTGTATTGTATATACACTGCTCACAAAAATAAAGGGAACACAGAAATAAGACATCCTATATCTGAATGAATGAAATATTCTTATTGAATACTTCGTTCATTATATAGTTGAATGAGCTGACAATAAAATCCCACAAAAATTATCAATGGAAATCAAATTTAGCAACCCATGGAGGTCTGGATTTGGAGTTACACTCAAAATTAAAATGGAAAAAAACACTACAGGCTGATCCAACTTTGATGTAATGTCCTTAAAACAAGTCAAAATGAGGCTTAATAGTGTGTGTGGCCTCCATGTGCCTGTATGACCTCCCTACAATGCCTGGGCATGCTCCTGATGAGGTGGCGGATGGTCTCCTGAGGGATCTCCTCCCACACCTGGACTAAAGCATCCCCCAACTTCTGGACAGATGTGGTGCAACGTGGCATTGGTGGATGGAGCGAGACAGGATGTCCCGCTCAATTGGATGAGAAGTGCTCAATTGGATTCAGGTCTAGGGAATGGGCGGGCCAGTCCATAGCATCAATGCCTTCGTCTTGCAGGAGCTGCTGACACACTCCAGCCACATGAGATCTAGCATTGTCTTGCATTAGGAGGAACCCAGGGCCAACCGCACCAGCATATGGTCTCACAAGGGGTCTGAGGATCTCATCTCGGTACCTAATGGCAATCAGGCTACCTCTGGCGAGCACATGGAGGGCTGTGTGGCCCCCTAAAGAAATGCCACCCCACACCATTACTGACCCACTGCCAAACTGGTCATGCTGGAAGATGTTGCAGGCAGCAACATTCTCCACGGTGTCTCCAGACCCTGTCACGTCTGTCACAAGTGCTCAGTGTGAACCTGCTTTCATCTGTGAAGAGCACAGTGCGCCAGTGGCAAATTTGCCAATCTTGGTGTTCTCCGGCAACTGCCAAACGTCCTGCATGGTGTTGGGCTGTAAGCACAACCCCCACCTGTGGACGTTGGGCCCTCAATCCACCCTCATGGAGTCTGTTTCTGACCATTTGAGCAGCCACATGCACATTTGTGGTCCGCTGGAGGTCATTTTGCAGGGCTCTGGCAGTGCTCTTCCTGTCCCTCCTTGCACAAAAGTGGAGGTAGTGGTCCTGATGCTGGGCTGTTGCCCTCCTACGGCCTCCTCCATGTCTCCTGATGTATTGGCCTGTCTCCTGGTAGCGCCTCCATGCTCTGGACACTACGCTGACAGGCACAGCAAACCTACTTGCCACAGCTCGCATTGATGTGCCATCCTGGATGAGCTGCACTACCTGAGCCACTTGTGTGGGTTGTAGACTCCGTCTCATGCTACCACTAGAGTGAAAGCACCGCCAGCATTCAAAAGTGACCAAACCATCAGCCAGAAAGCATAGGAACTGAGAAGTGGTCTGTGGTCACCACCTGCAGAACCACTCCTTTATTTGGGATGTCTTGCTAACTGCCTATGCTTTCCACCTGTTGTCTGTTCCATTTGCACAACAGCATGCGAAATTGATTGTCCAAAGTGGACAGTTTGATTTCACAGAAGTGTGATTGACTTGGAGTTACATTGTGTTGTTTAAGTGTTCCCTTTATTTTTTTAAGCAGTGTATTTAATGGAACATTGATCAAATTCTTTTCATTTCAAAAAGAAATACTGAAAATTGTCATTTAAAATAAAAGATTTTGGTTACAAAAAATAATTTGATAATAAAATTATTTTATTCACTTTCTCTTTAGATGCTGATATTAAGTTTCTGCCATTGTATATCCGCATAAATTATCTGTCATTTTGTCATTTATAAACAAAAATTGTTATTTTTTTAAAATTATTCCTTGTGAACTTTATCTTGGTATTAAGTTACTTAATATCTTTCAAATGGTATACTGTATTGAGATTTATGTGTATTGAGCTTTGTTGATGTGGAAGTTTATTTACTGGTGACTGGTTTGGTTCACTTATCTCAGAACTAAAGGAAGAATGAAGCTTAACCAGGCAATCAACGTGGCTAACTTTCACTGACATTAGACAAAGTTAGTGAAATATATCTTCCACATTAAGAAATTATCTGCTACTGCTATCAAAGTTCAGCTATATAATTTCTAAAGAGTTTTTAATTTTATTTCATAAGAACATTACATTAATGATACAAATGCAGCAAAAATGTATGAATGTGTACGTTTACAAGTATTACGTTTGTGTTTGAAATATAAACACCACACACACAAAATTTTATTCATTTCCGTGTAGAATTTAAAAATCACCATTAATATTGCTGACGTGTACTGTACCTATAGCAAAACCGGTAGCTGAATAGTTGCAGTTGCTGGTGGGTTTTGATTGGTTAGAATCGAGCTATTTAGAACTATATTTTATTTTCTTACCATTTAGCTCTGACTCTAACGTTGCATGCTTTGCTGTTTTTTTGCCCCCTTTCTCATTTCCAGGAAGAGAGCCCCCTGAGTGTGTCTAGCCCAGAGTGGCTGCATTATACCAGTGGTGTGGGTACTGGGCGTCGAAGACGCAGATCAGGGGAACAAATCACTTCTTCCCCTGTCTCCCCTAAATCATTGGCTTTCACATCCAGTATTTTTGGCTCATGGCAACAGGTTTTTAAACTTTACTTCATTAAACATTACTGTGCATTCCAAGCAGGAACCAATTGTCTTTAAGGACATCTAATCCCTTGTTCTGGATTTTGTTCAAAGTAAATTACTTCACCTGTCATTAAAATATGATTTTAAAAATAATAATTACTTCCAAAAATGCCTGGGGGGAAAAAAGCAAGTGCATGTCTTATTTTTGTATGTTTTTTTCCTACACAATTTTCACTTAATGTATTTAGTTATAGAATTAGTTGCTTTCAGCACTATATGGATTGTTATGGGTTGTACCCTAATGAAACAGACCTAAGTTCTGTTTTAGCTGTCCTTAAAGGCTTTTTTCTTAAAGAAATAAAAGCAGCAGCATCTAATTCAGTGGCAAGCAAATCTTTTTTTTTTTTTTTTGCTGACATAGGAAATAATTGGATTAAGCTATATTTGGGGTTAGAAAGAGATAATATTTTCAGTTGCCATTAACTGTGCAGGAAAAAAAAATCATTAGTACTAATCATTATTTTCTCCATGCCTTAACTGGATATACTTTTTTTCCCTTCCCCTCTCTCCTCCTCCTCCTTTTCCTCCTCATTCTTCCCACAGTACTTCACCCATTGTCATGTAAAATGTGCTGAAATGGGAAAATGAATATAACATTGTACATTTGTTTAAATATGTTAGTCAAAAGGCTAATACCTTAAAGCAGTTACATTGTTTATGCTAAACAATGGATGGTGTTCTGTTGTGAAAACTTTTCTCTAGAAATTACATTGTTTCTGTTTGATCTTGACTTTTTAAAATATTTTGACATAGAGAACAAGTGTTAATTTTGAACATCAGAAACTCATTCTGGTAGGGCTGCATATGGTTCAGTAATTGTATGGTGACTTCATCAGCCTGTCTGTATTTCCTCTTTTTTTTCCCCTTCCAATACAGGCGCAGTTTAGGAGTATTCATTTGGTAAACTAAACTAAAACGATACAGTTATATATGTCTTCATAATTTTCTTGGTGTCTGTCCTGTTTTATCATGAATGCCTGCTTGCACCACTTCATTGCAAGGATCTCATGAGTGAAATGGAACCCCTTCAGCAATAATTGCATGATCTTTCATATTATGTTGGTATTTCTACTAACTCATTGTATGGCTTTTTAATACTTGTCTGTCTTAGCAGGCGGCTGTTTCAAGTTTAATGGATTCAACCAGACGATTAGACTGCTTTCCTTATTTATCTCTCTCTTATATCCAGGCACCATCAGAAAATAATAGTCTTTTTCGACCTCCAAGAACAATTGTGGAACAAAAGACCAGTAGCATAGGTATGTACATCTAATACAATCCTGATTCTTTGAAATGGAAATACCCTGGTTTTAATATTGTTCTGATAACCTTGTAGATCTGCAGTTTGGCATCACAGAATTTTAACACCAACTGATTATTGGATCAACACTAAAAACAAACTAAGATTACTGGGATGATATTCCTTTGTACCAATTAAGACGCTCTTGAAAATCAAGCCATTCCTTTTTTTTTCTTATTTGCTATCTTCCTTTTTCTTTTAAAACAATAGTAAAAGTTCTTTGCACTACCCCAAATTCCATCAACTACAGCTTTCAGTGTATAAACATAGATAGCTATTATAACCGCTGTCTTATAGCACATTTTATTTTAATCCAGATACTGTTTTCTAAATAGTACTGCAAAAGGATACTTTATTAAATCATACTTTACTGTATTATCAAAATTATTGAAAGCATTATTGCCTTCTTCTGCTAAAATGATTTCCAGGGTAGATTGCAATAAAATCAGAAACCAGCAAAACCATTCGTGCTTTACAGGTTTATAGTAAAAAAATTCACAAACCAAAAAGGGTTGATGAAGGAAGAGAGGAAAAAGTCATCACAAGTTACCTGTTTTCAAGGCTAAAATTCTTTTTATACACTCTTTTGAATGGGAATGAGAACCAGCTCAGTGGAGCTGGTCTTCTAACAGAGAAAATGTAGAGGGTTTTCAGGGTCAGCATTCACTTTCTGCAACCTAATATTGGTAAATAATACATTGTTAGTGATTTGTGTTGTTAGATATAGATGATTCAGTTTGTATAACGTTTTCAGAACATACAAAATTATAAATATTGCCAAATAACTTGACACATAAACTGTTAAAAATTTCTGTATTTCTCTGCTAAATTCTATACTCCTTCAATACAGCCTTTATTTGGTATTAATCATATCAGAAGTTTCCTTAGAAAAAAAGCATATATAACAGGTGCTCTTGGTTTTTGTAATTTACTTTTTCTAATTTTCAGTCTTCGTTTCTATGCTATATCACATTGTCAGTATGAAAAAAATCTGATCTACTTATGTGCATAACTGAAGGTATAACTTTGCTTCAACATTTTTACCACATCATTTACATTGGATGAGTTTCATCATCACAGGTGCTAGTAATGTTTTGCTTTTTGTTAGGTCATTAATAGCTACTGCAATTCCTTGGAGTTAGGAGCATATGGTTAAAATTATATAAACCAGCTTTCAAATAGGAAATTTATCCTGTTACAAGTTCCACTGAGAAACACATTTTATCAATAGTTGAAAAAAAAATTGCATCTACCTTTTTTATAACTTTTAAATGTGAATTAGATAGTGATAGATATATCACAGAAAAATAATCTTGTAAATGTATATTAATATTACTTTTTATAAGTCAGATTTTTAGTTATTAGTAAAAACACAGTTGTTCATACAATTTCATTATTAATTTGAAAGTTATATATTTTAATTCAAATAGAGTGAATTTAGCTACTGGGCTTATTTCATGGGATCCATCTACCAAAGACCCAAATGGATGTAGCCACAAGCAGATTGTTTGAGAAATACTCAAGAATTCCAGGAAAATTTGCATATATGTTCAGTTCTGCTGTATCTAGAATTCTATCTTCATTTTTTTTCCCAGTTCAAGTACAATTTCTGAAATCTAACCTTTATAATTCCACTCTTTTTTATTTTACACTGCCTCCTTTTTCCTTTGCCAAGTTTGTTTATCCTTCATTTAAGGACAATTTTATCTTTGGTAAAAAATAACTTTAAACACAAATTATTATTGGAAATTACTGTAAAGATGCTACAAGCATAATGTAAATCTATCCAAAGCAATGCCACAAGGTGCCTTTTGTGTGGTAAGAGCAAAATGCTTGCATGCTGCATGCATCCCAATGTGAATAGAAGAACACCTGGTTTTTGTATGTATTTTCTCTAACTCCCATCAGGGTCTCACTGTGCGAGCCTGTTTAGCACCTCGGTGCTCGGGGGGTCTTCAAGTGCACCCAATCTACAGGATTATGCTCGTACTCATCGTAAAAAGCTGACTACTTCTGGCTGCATAGATGGTATGTGCACACTTTCGCACATGCATTTACATTTACACATGCCCATTATATTGCATACTAAGGAACACTTTAAAAAGGCCTAAATCTTTTGACTGAGAAGAAGGCTAGGTTATTATTTGTCACTATTAAATACAGTGAATCTTACTGCCTATCTTTTCAGCATTAGGTTGAGGTTAATGTTTTTTCAATTCTTGTGTAACATATCATCTTCTGAATAAAAGATTTAAGAAATACAATCCGTACAAAATATTAACATTTTGAAGTATGACTTCAAAAGTTTTTTGAAAAATATATTTTGGAAATTCTGAAATTGGTTAGGAATGAAACAAAAAATATAGATGTTTTAAATTATAGTTTAGGCTTTGGACAGTTAATGGAAATGACAGCACCAAATTTAGAATGATATTGCAATTTTTCTAACATGTTTGAGAATAAAAAACACATACACCTTTTTTTCTGCTGTCACTACCTGAACATTAAGTGCCAAGCATGCATCGTTTCGTGCATCAAATTTGCAGTTACTCCTTTAAGTCCATGCACTCCATTATAATCCTACGTAGTATCAAGCAAAGGTTATTTTTAAATCTATTTGGCCTGTGCACTTTTTCCAATACCTTTTGCATGCCACTTAATTCTAACCTTTTTTTTATTTCCCTTCTTCCCACCTTCCTGTCTTTTCTTGAAATGTCCCTCTTCTGGTAGCTGGTTTGAATTTCAGGTACCTGTTTTTCTCTTTCTCAGACACCACACGTGGTTCTGCTGTTAAAAGGTTTTCTATCACATTTGCTCGACACCCAACCAATGGTATGTTTTGCTTTTATTTAAAAAAAATATTCCCTTGCTTCATCCCCCTCAAAAATGGGATGGATATTATTATCCCACTTTCTTTCTATACTCCATCTTAAGCACATATACATTTGTCCAATTATTAGGTATGGCAATTGATTAATCCCTTTTCATATATTAATTACATTTTTTTAAATTCACACATCAAATCTTTTGGGGAAATAATATGAAAGAATAATTCAAATCTAATTATACACATTCATCCAAATGACTGACACAATGAATACATTTTAAAACTAATTTTTTTTAAAAAAAAAATTCTGGTCTTAAAGTTCCTTGGACTCTCTTCATAATATTCCTTGCCTTCTTGCTGCATTAGATATTTTCATCCTGAACCTTTGTACTGCAGCATTAAAAATGTCTTGCTAAATCAGGTCAAAGTGCATTTTCTTAAGCATTTTGTTTCCAATAGCAACCATCAAATTGTGTTGGGAATTGCAGAAGGCAAAAAAGAAAAGTCATTTTCTACTTCTTTTTGTCTCCAGCACCCCAAGCTACACTGCCTTTAAACTTGGGGTACTGTTTCTTTAATTTCATTAGCTATTGATAAGAGCACTCTGTTAATTAAATTGTCATTTAAAATGAAATCTATCAATCATCTTTCTTGAAACTGAATTGCATTAAAATAAAAGTTAAAACAGTACACTATACTAACAATAACACAAGTTGTTTCCTTTATTTCAATCTTTTTCCCATTATGATGGAACCAGATTTTATTTAATCAATATATAGCTGCATTCCCTTGAAGATTGAACCAATTCAAAACTGCTTTTGTTGTTGTTGAAATTAAATGTTGGAGAAAAACACCCTTTTTCTGTTCCCATATGAAACATTTTGCACAAACTTCGCCAGTCAATCCTTTTATTACAGAAACTGAACTGACTGCCCCACAATAATAATGCTGCCCTCAATTCTTAATTCAGAACTTTCCAGTACTATTAAGTAAGAAACATTAATAAGTAAAAAGAAATGTGGGCTTTTACTGAAGTTACAGAACTATAGTTAACTCTTTGATACATTTGATTATTAGAAACAATCTAAAAAATGCAAGAAGTACTTGACTTATGATCACAGTTGAGCCCGGAATTTTGGTCATAATTCATTGTGGTCAGAAGTTGAATCACTATGTGACTGGACTTGATTTTATGACTTTTTACAATGATTGTTAAGTGAGTCACTGTGGTTGTTAAACAAATTAAATGGTTGTTAAGCAAATCACATGTTTTAACTCCAAGCTTATCCAATGGGTATTTTTTGCCAGAAAATGGCAAAAAAAGGTTGTAAAACATGATCATATGACCATGGGTTAGTGCACCAGGTTGTAAATTGTCAAGCACCTGAACTGTGATCATGTGACCATAGGGTGGTGCAGCAATAGTAATTTGCGGACAGTTTTTGAGTCCATCATAACTTCAAATGGTTGTTAAATAACAGTGAGAAAGCAAGGACTACCTATAACAGGTCAACTTTAGTTATGAAAATATTTGTAAAGACAGTTTTCATATATTATAAATACTGTATGAATTGGGAAATTTAAAAATATGTTTGAACTCTTAAAATTAAACTATCTAAAAAGAGAAAGCAGCTTAGTGCAGCAATGCAAAGCAACCAATTTGGGTTTTTAATGTTAATTATTACATACTTGCATAATAAAGAAAATTCTGTTTAATAGCTAAATACATTTCATCTAATTTATGTTCTTAATATACTTTGTATATTATGCACAACTACATTACAGAGCTTTCTCTGATATATTTAATGTTTCTTAGTATCTTTAATAATTTATTGCATGCTTTAGGTATTTATTTGAACCTTAAAGATAATCTCCAATATATTGGTTGGGACTCTTAGGGACAGAGCGTGGTTTATTGTCTTTCCTCACCTTTTCATTGGAGCCTCTCCTCTCTCTCTCTCTCTCTCTCTCCCCCTCCCTCCCCCCCTCCTTTGGTAACCCTAACCTTTTTTCAGTCTTTCCCCTTTTCTCATCTTGAGTACAAGAAATATGGTGAAATCAGTACCTACTGACAGTGCTTTACCTTATTTTCTGGGCCTCTATGCAGAGCATCCAGACCTCTATAGGTGCTGGTCGGTTTCCTCTGAGGAATTTCTAGGCTCCAGTGGTATGTCTTTATAGCTTTCAAATGTAAGATGGCAGGCTGGCTTTCTGTTGCTGCGCTAACTCTTTCATTGTCTTCCATGTTGAGATATAAATATGTATTGCAATAAAAATTACCCTAGAACTATTGTTTAATTAAAGCTGGGCTTGTTTTAAAAATATTAACTTAAGAAGGAAGTTTTCTTTTTTCCTTTCCACCAAATCAGCCTCTTAGGAAATATCTAAAAGCATTTGATAATTAGATAATAGAACTGCTAAAGGTTGAGTGTATGTGTGACTACTTAGTCCCCACTGTATAGCCAAGGAGAGACACTAATTTTAATACAATTTTCCTATACATTTTTCCAAGGTACTGATATCTAAGCATTTGGATAGGCATGAACTCTTTAAGTCAAAAAATAGTTATTATATTTCTTCTTGTAATCCTGGAGTTGTGCTTATAGATTTTTCTCTGGTAAAGAAAAGCTGCAGTTCTTGTGGAATTTACTGTAATGCAAAGAAAGGGTTTGCGCTTGCCTGCATGTATACTGTTGTAATTTATTTTACCAAGCGTTAAACACAATTAATTTGAATTATACCTAGAAACTTAATTGCTATGATTAAAACAACTGCCCAAATATCCGTAATAAATATTACTTTACATATGAAACATTATAGGTTTAAAAAAATTAAGGAGACTAAAGTGGTATTGAAATCATTGAGAGATTGTGAGTTAAAATTAATATTACATTTTAAATGTGTCCTTGAAGAACTACTTCAGTTACAATCCTGTTTTTGAAATAAAATGCCTTGAAAATAATTTGGCAATCTAAATTGAATGAAATAATTTTGTTCTTTAAACAATATAATATATGGACATCATTTTGTGGGGCACTGTCACAATCAGTTCATGAAACTCCTTCAAATCTCTCATATATGTCTGTATGTATACATACCCACACAATCAAATATATATTTGTTTGGTTAAGTTTTCTTACCCTAATACTCGAATACTAGAATACCTGTAGTTTTGCCTAATTTTTTTGTATAATTAATGAGGCAGGTATTATTTTAATATGTTATTAAATATCTTGCATGTTGATGTTTTATGAAAGGAGTTTCTTAAATTTTAATTCAGAATTGTATACTTTAAAATCTTCCAAATTATTTTCCTATTTAGGTGGGAAACACAGTTTCATTGGTTATAGAAATAATCTTAGCATATATTGCAACATTAACTTAACTAATTCTTAAATAGGGCTTCTGCTAAAATGCATATATATGTGATTGTAATTACAGCTGTGTAAGTGATGGTTAAACTACTGTCTAATTTAAATATGCATGTTCTGTTAAGTTTATATAGAATTATGAGCTTCATGTGAAATAACCACTGGTTATTTGGTCTAAGTATTATTTTAGTTTGTGAAGTGGTGATTGTATTTATATTCAATGTATTTATATATATATTTATATATTTGAGTGAGAGCCAGAGTGATTTTTGGCTATTCTTTATTCTCATGTTTGACATGTACTATCTCTGAAAATTTACATTGTAAAATCAGGCAAAATTTTGGAACTATTTTTGATGAGAACAAAGATTTGTCAAAATCAGAAGTTTGCTGTGTTGAAAAGTATTTCATTACACATGGCCTAGGGTTCTTGTTTTTCTCTATTGTAGCTTTAAAGTTCTGTGGATCACGTTGCTATCCAAAAAATAATTCAGTGCTTCTGGGCTTTTATGGTGAAAATCTGTGAGTTTTTCTTTTTCTTTTTTAGGCTTTGAATTATATTCCATGGTGCCTTCAATTTGTCCTCTAGAAACTCTCCATAACTCCTTGTCTTTAAAGCAAGTGGATGAATTTCTTGCCTCAATTACAGCCTCAACCTCGTGTGAAAATTTTCCAAATACATCTACAGCTTCCTTTCGTAATTATTTACTATCTGTTCTATTTTTCAAACTGCAATACATTGCTACGTGTAAACAATTCATTAAAATTTCAGAATTAGCACTTTGAGTTGCTTATATATCTCTTTATATACCTAAGGTTTAGAAGAACAGAATCTAAGACACAGATATGGTACAAAACAGTGTCTAAGATAAATGGTCATGAAATTCCAATTACAGAAGGGGCTACCTTACAATTGTATTAATTTGCTTGTTTGTTTGTATGGATTTTAAAATACTTGATTCCAAACAATGTGTAATACATATTCCATCCTAAGGCCTGTTGAAAAACAGGTTTTGATGGCTAAGCCTTTAGTGGATGACTGGCAGTTTCCAAACAAATATGCACTACTTATTTTTCCTTTGCTGTAGCATTTGATAGATTCACTCAACTGAATCTTGCTTAGCAACGTTACCATACAATTGTCAGATTTATGCATTTAGAATATATAATAACAAAAGTTATTTCCACCTCTACAAACACTGAAGATCCCCAAAGTTAAGTTGCTTTTATTATTCCACCTCTCAACATTCGCTTGTTCAAGACTAATTTTTAAATCAGCTTCACCTACCCCTGAAGGCCCAGCAGAATTTACAAACTTTTCCATGTACTAACTTATGTGATATTGTAATACAGGTAGTCCTTGACTTATGACTGTAATGGAGCCTACCTATTATGGTTGCAAGTTGTGACGGTTGTCAAGTGAGACACCTATATGATCATCTTGCTTAATGACACCAATCCCTGTTCTCACTGTTCCAATTGCAGCATTTTCCCAGTTCTTATATGGTCTGTCCGAGGCCTTCACCACTTCCTGCAGCACCCCATGCTCTGCTTCCCACCACAGTGAGTTTTTAATAGGCCTTGGACTTGCTTTCCCACCTCACTGGGTCACTGCAGGCCTTGGTCCTACTTCTCAACCTGCTGGGTCTCACAATGCTCCTTACTCGCATCACAGATTAGTCATTTATCTTTTCATAGATCTTCAGTAAGCAGCTGCTCTGCCACACAGCCTCCTTACACAGTGGAGGTCATGTGGCATCAGCCTGGAAGTGGGTGCAATTTTGGCAGTGGCTAAAATGAATTGTGGCTGTTCCAAAATGGCACCTACTTCCAGGATGGTGTCACATGACCTCCACTGTATAGAAAGGTCCCATGGAAGAGCAGCTGCTTGCCAGAGATCTATAAAAAAAAGTGAGTGACCAATCCATGGGAGGTGGAATGGAAAGTGTGGGACCTAGCAGGGTGGGAAGCAGGCCCAAGGACTGCAGTTATCAGGTGGGACAGGATGAGGGGGAGATTGGTCTGCATGCTTCCCTGTGGTCTGTGGGTTGCCAAGTGCTCAAATATTGTTCACAACTGGAGAGGCCCAGTAGCAGCTGTAATTTCAGGCATGAGTTGTAAGTCCATTTGATTGCAATTTTGAACAGTCGCTGAATGAATGGTCATAAGTCAAGGACTACCTATATACCGGGTGTAAGGTGTAGACTACGAGTGGAAGACACAGATTCAGTTCCATGGAAACCCACTAAAAGGTAATATACATAATGTATAGAGCCTGGAACTGCTGAAAGAACAAGAGATAAATCTAATGAGTTAAAAAAAGAGTAAACCTATACCCAAATATACAACAGTGAACAATATCCAGCTACTCATACTGATGACGGGAAATTCCAGAAAGTGTACTTCCACTACCATTCCAAAGATGATCTATCCAACATTTCAATGGTATGGTTCATGATCTAAGGGACTGAAAGAAGAGGCATCCCAAAGTCAGGTTGAGTCATTTTATTCCCGAAAGGTTCACATAGAAGTAGAATAACAGAGTTGGAAGGGACTTCGTAGGTTATCTAGTCCAATCCCCTGCTTAAGCAGAATAGTCCATTTCAGACAAATGGCTGTCCAATCTCTTCTTGAAAGCCTCTAGTGATGGGGCACCCACAACTTCTGAAGGCAAGACATTACACTGGTTGATTGTTCACACTGTTAGGAAATTTCTCCTTGGTAGCAGTGCTAAAAAATAATGTGGTTTTGTTACAGAACTTCTTATCCTGCCCCCATTAATCTTTTAGGTTCTCCATCATTTATTGATTCCGTGACAGAAAGAAAGTCTTCTTTAAATACATATACCCCTGCTAAAATCCAACCAACAACATTTGAAGACTATGCAGGGCGGAGATCTGTTGAGAGAAGCCCCTCAGGTAAGTAATGCTTAAGTTTACATGTTCTCATATCAGTAAGCTTTTAATTGGTCATACTTTTGTTATAACAATCAAATTTATATAATTTTAATCTTAATTGAAATCTGTACAAATCTTATTTTCTTTTTTATCTGATTAAAATTATTGATCAATATTGAATTAAAAAGATGAGAAATGTTTCATAGTAGACAACACTTTTTGACTTTAACTGATGACATATAAGTAAAGGTAGTTCTCAACTTGCAGCCACAACTGAGATCACAATCTTCAGTCATTAAGTGAAACTATCATTAAGCAAAACATCACATCTACTCAACAATTGCAATCCTGGCAGTCCTGGTTGTGGTCATTAAGCAATCTCCTGGACCACTAAGTGGACAGAGCAAAGAGTGCTCTACATGGACTTGCATCCTTCCAATAGACAACTCTTTTCCTCTCAAAAGAACAGCCTGTTGGAGGAATTCTACCTTGCTGTCAAAAGAGGCTGGCTGAAAAAGGTCCATCCAAAACTTTCAGCAGAATTTTGGCATAAGTATTTGTAGAGTATTTGCAGCCAAGATCAGAAGACATATCATGCTGCATTGTCCTGCAGAGAAAAAGGGGTTTTCTTTTCTGCAAGAACTTGCTGAAAATGGTCTATTATCCAAGCAGGATTTTGGCATGGACTCCCATTACCTTCTATTTCTGGGGGCTGGCAGCAAACACCCCATGCTGCAAATGGATTTTGGAATAGACCATTTACACCCCACCCCCCCGCCTCAGAAACCAGAGGAGAAGTCCTTGGAACCTCCCTGCAGGCTTTCCCATTAACATTCTAGGGAAGACAGCAGGAAAGATTGCAAATGGTGATCACATGATTGCAGAGCACTTGACAATTGGTCATAAGTGTGAACAGGTCACCAGCACCTAGATTGCAATCATGTGATGACAGACTGAAACAGTTGTAACTGTACAGGTTGTAAATCTCTGTTCAGAAACATTGTAATTTTGAACCATCGCTGAACAAATGGTTATTAAGCAAGGACTAAGCAAGGACTATCTGTGTTTACAATTGTGCTTAATCAATTAATACACAAATAGAAAAAAAGTTTGACCAATGGAAGTAAAATACTGTACATGCAAGAAATTCTTCTAAACTACCCATTGTTTTGCTTGCACTAGTGACTTGAAAAAGCTAAAAAAAGTTGCCCTTTAAAGTACTATATAATAATCATGTTTAATATGACGCTCAGCACATTTTCAGGGTTTTTTACTTGTTTAAATGCTCCAGATATAGTATTCTCCATATCTTGCAGATCTTGATTTAACTATCGTTGAAAGTATTTTGTGTGACTTTGTGGCTTATGTCTTGACTTTCTTACTACCTATCATTTGCCAGAATTGTTCAGTTTGCTTCCAGTCCCTTTCCTTTCTTGGGCTTCCATTAAATTTGCAAGTTCAGATTAAAAGCAATATGTTAAGCCAATTTTATAAACATTTCTGTAAGTTATGCATAGCTATAATTTTAACTTCAGTGAAGGATTATCAATTTTTAAATTGATATGTGACACATGTCCAGAGGTTTTAGTTTTACGAGTGATTCAAAGAAGTGGGTAAGTACATATTTAATTGAAAAATGTGAGAAAACTCTTGATCTAGTCAGGTTTGGCAATGAGCTTAGTTTTAAGCCTTAAGAGGACTTTTAGTTCTGATTTAGTTTTGTTCACAAAACATAAACATGTATTTTAATGGTATACAAAGCATCATTCTGAATTTAAACCATTATTTATAGTACAGTGCAAATTTCAAATGGACTGGGTGTTATAGAAAATTTTTGAACTCATTTGTAGAAATTATTTTGAACTTAGAATGAGACATTACGAATTCAGCTTAAAATTTGACTGAAATAGTATTTTGTTTCTGTACAGATGCCACTTGCTCTTCAGTTCCTGATATTTGACTCTGTACCATTAGAAGACAAAAAGAATTTAAATAATAGTAGTGTGATGTTAGTAGTGAAATGCTTTCTGAAAAAGAATTAACCACTTCAGTCAAAACTTGAAGGAATACTTCATTGCCTCTTCTATAATGAACAAATCCTTACAGAAAAAGGCAGTTTTTGAAATCACGTTTGCCACACAGTGTGTTTCATTGTACGTAAAAAAAACCTTCTGGAATGCATAAGTTGTATATTTTCAGTTAAAGGTGACTTCGGTTCTAAAATATAAAGAGCAACAAAGTTTACACTTGTAATTTTAAGGTACTGATATCTTAAATGTAAAAACTGCACAAAATATTTCCATCATTGTTGTCTAAAATATACGCACAATGCAAAACCAAAACAGCCTAGCATAATAGTATCGTATTGCAGACACAGCTAGAAAGGGAGAAAAGACAAAGATTTTTAAAAGGCTGTTAGATATAAAAGGGGATAGATTTACAATAGGCCTTTTAAAAGTTTACAGTAGGCCTTTTTTCATTACCAAGAAATATTAACGTGGCTCTGGTTAATGTCTACTTTTCTGAATATTGACCCCTAAATTAGAATTTAGCAATTTAAACTTTATTTCTGGTAATCATGCTTGTTGTTTGACTTAAGATGAAAACTTTAGATTCTTAGACTTGGCAAATGCAAGGAAAATTCAACAACCTGCTGTAGAAACTAATACTCTAAAGCTAATGTGTCATATTTTGAGTCATATAAGTACTAATAGCATCTATATGATATTATACAATTGTAAAGTTAAAAGTTAAAATTGGTTTCAATTCACAGATCAGCTTCACTGAAGATTTATTCTAACTTGACAAGAGTCAGGGCCACCAAAACAAATTAAAAAAGAAAATATTTTAAATGCTAATGTAGCAGAACTTTACATTTCATAGCAAAATATTTTATTTCTATTTCATGCATGCTTACTACTAAGTTAAAACCTCATTCTTACTCTATGCCAATTATTTTCTCTGTCAGCAGCAGTTGTATAGGGAACAAAATCTTGGTCTTGACTCCATTCCGTTTAGTCATTCATCTGTCAAGTGCAAGGTTTAGATTGTAATCTCTCTCCATGCTTCAGTTTAAATATGGCTTCTGGAAGAATCGCATCCTTCCTATTATATCAAGGTACCTCTAATGAGATTTCATAGTAATAATTACATAAAGGGGTACTGTCCAAAAAAATCATATACTCATAAATTAATATCTTGCCTAAGATGGCCTGCTCAGTCTTGATGCAGAAGTACATGTCACTTTTTCCTATTTGAATATGAGATATTTTGGGAGTCAGTTATGGACAGTATATACATGATTTACCACATTTCTTTGTTTACATCAATACCTGGAATTTGCGCAAGATTATTCTAACCTATGCTTTAGTATAGGGCATGAATTAATTTGATTGCATTATTTATGAATTTATTTCCTGTTTACATACTATCCAAAGGCTCTTTTTTTAAAAAAAAAGTTTGCCACATAGGTTTCTGCAGAATACTGTTTAAAAGTATAGTCCTATAGAAGGATAATAGGGCTTTATAAAAGCAGAAACAGCTGGTCTGTTTACATTCATGATTGTAATTTTATATGTTTGTACATGCTGTCATTTGTCGTGTTTTCAAATGAAAAGTTGCAACAAAATCAATTCTATGAAATTACTGTTTCATCATTGAATATATGGGCATAACCCCATGTAGAAAATAGGCATATTATTGATCTTTTATTAATGCCTATTGGTGAACAATGTTTAAAGATAAAAATCAGTGTTATCAGACATCCCAAAACTGGAACTCTGCTTTTTTAAAAATATTCAGGTTTGTCAACATCTATATATTAGTTGTCTTTTGACTTCCCTTATGTCCTGTTCAATTATTGAATGGTTAAAATATTTTCAGTCTTTGCAGTAACTCTGTAATTTATGAATGGCAATATTTTCCTTTATACTGCAAGAGGCCTGGTTTCAGTGCCTTTATAAGAATAAAAATACTTTCATTCAGTAATTTTCCATAAACATGTACTTGCTTATAAAGCTTGCCATGGCATTGCTGTGCATATTATATGGGATTATATAAGCAATTATTAATCATTAAGATACCAAATATATGATCTCATTGCATTCATCTTCTAAATACAGGTTTTTAATATGGACAATGTTTGTCTTGGTCACTTATGAATGTATATGTTATATTGTTTTTCTATACAAAACGTTGTTTAATTATGTGTAACATTCCAGTCAACCAAAGCTTTGGCATAAAAATTCAATGTGCTCTTAAATAAAAGAGTTCACAAAAAAGCAGCATCCATTCTAATTGATCTTTAACATGATTTTTTGTCCTTTGACAAATATTCCTAAGAGACTGAATACAGAACTATGATCTTAAGTAAATATAAGTATAAGAATTATCATTACAGGTAGGTCTTATTTAGCAACGGTCTCATTTAGCAACCACTCAGCTACAACCGTGATAAAATAGTAACTTTATGATCAGTCCTTGAAATATGATCTTCACAGTGCTGGATAAGGATCAACAGAATTCAAGATGTTCAGAACTTAGTCCATTTGTGGCTATGTAGAGTCGCTAGGCTGATTCTTCTTTTGATATATATTGAGTATAAATAAACAAAAGGCACACGTCACTATGAGCCAAAGTGCAAAATATAAGAGGGATAATCTCTTAATTGACAGATATATGTAACATTCTGGATGTTTTTCAGGATATCCTGTTCTTCAACTATCTGAAAGAACGTGACATGAGATCAAAACCTGATTACTATTACATAAGAGTTCCAAACATAAAATGGAAATCATAGGAAGGTAGATTGATTATTAGAACATCATTTCCTAACAATCAGAGCAGTTTAACAACTGATCCAATTAATCAAGTAATTGTGGTTCTGTTTCCTAGATCAATATTCAGTGATCTATTGGGACTGTTGGCTTTGATGTTAGTGATAAGGGAGTTGGATGCACAATGTTAAATGGTATCCTTTAAATCTGTAATTGTAAACAGATGGTTCTTGCTTTATTCCTAATGTGAATCTTCCCACAAAACTGTAAAGACTCTACCCTACACTTTTCTCTTTTCCTTCTCCTCCCCTATTTTACCTTCATCTCTCTTTATATTTTTGTATTTTATGCTTTGCAAAAAATTAATAAAATTTTGAATGGTATAAAAGGACTCTATGATAGATAAAGCATTTCAACATTAGAATGTCTAACCCATTCACTAATCAAAATGAAGTATTTTTAAGATTCTTTCTGTGCTCTGTAGTTCGTTACTAGCATCACAAAATAGACTAGACTCAAATTTTCTCTGAAAAAGAAATTCCAATTTTAAGTCAGTCTCATTTTAGATTACAGCCATCTTTGCTCATTACTGTTATTTTATTACTTCAACTCACTGCAATAGAATTAAAGCTATTAGATTTGTACCAAATTTTATACTACCTTATTCTATATTTTGGTTACATTTTGAAACAGCAATAAAGAAAATGCTCACTAGCTAGCTATGTTAATGATTCTATTAATGAAACATATCTTTTAATTTACAGAGGTATAAGTAATGCCATGGTATCATAATGGAACAGGTATATATTGTTTATACTGTTAATGAGCGTTATTCTCTGAAATACCAGTAGATTGTGAGTTGCCACATCCTCAACTCAGACACTATAAGATACACTGTATAATCTTCAAAGATGGGATGCTAAATTATTCATAGGAAAGTATTTCTAACCAGTAAAGAACCTCTTTTTTTAATTTGGCTCACAGTATATATAACTACGATACATTAGATTTGTGAGACAGGAAGAAATTTAGTAGTATCCCACAGATTATTAGTGGTATCCATTATTATACAATTGTAAAGGCATAGATAGAAGAGATTAGCTCTGTTTAGGCATATAGATGTTAAGGCCTGTTGTGACTGGCTGGTGTGAACCAGACATGGAGTAAAGGAAAAAATAGAGCCCCCACCCCACCCCACCCCAGTTTAAATGTGTTTTTGAAGGATAGCTGGACTGTTATGGATGAGCTGACCTGGCTGTTAAGCAATCCCATTGGTAGAAGGAGTTATATAAGGTGTATGTGTTAAAGGAGGTGTATATGTTAAAAACTATTGCCTGGGGAAATACCTACCTCTTCAGTAGCTGCAGGACAAGCTGCCAGAGTAACGCTGCAGTGGAAGGAGAAGCTGGAGCAAAAAGGCTGCATTAAAAAGGGAAGAGAAATGTGCGTGGCAAGTGTCAGTTATTATTTGGAGCATGAAAACCCAGAGAGACAAACTCCATCCAAGACCCCAAACTTTGGAAGGCTAGAAAGGATCTGCCTAGTTACAGGCAATGGCTTCACCCAAAATCCTGAAAAGGGCAGAGGGAGAATGGACTGTCACTATAGGAGCCCTGGTTTTGCAAATTACGGTAACTATAGAATTGCAAATAACAACGCATTTCTAAATGCCAATCACAACTTCTGAAGCATTTCTAGATCTCTATTTTTCATTTTTCATTATTTTTTTATGAAAGTTAACAATATTAAATAGATATCCTCAATCTGCATGACTCTAAAGTCACTATGCTAGGTGGCATTTTATTTGCCAAAGATTGAAGTAAGTATCTTTAAAAAATTGAATAGAAACATAGTCTGCTCAAATAATAATCCATCTGAGCTTGGCTTGACCTATTTTTCTAGAAATCAGGCCAAGTTAAGAAATGAATTAGACAACAAAGCAAAAAAGTATAATTGTAAAGAAGTGAGAGCAGTGAATGATCTCTTAAAAATACAACTGGTAGAAAGATAACATGCAATATATAGCATCGCTATTCAGCATTTATAAATTACATGCCATAATTACACATCAGATTTTTGTTTAAATATGAAGTTGTTTTTTAAAAAAGTTCAAACTAGGACATATGAACATTACCCAATTTCCTGGATTAATTTGATATTTCATATATAATTATATATTGCAATATAATAAATTATTATCAAGCATGAAGAACAAACCAATATGTCAAAATAAATCTTGTGTCATAAAGCCATTAGGTGAAGAATGCACCCTAGAACTTTTCTCAGACAGCTGTCACAATTATTCAAATCATGGTTCATTATTATTATTATGGTGGTTTGCATAGTCAGTCAAGGGCTTAGATGGGATTTGGTAATTTTATTCACCTATTGAGTCCTGGGATAGGCAGATTTGTTATTTAATACTATTAAGGATACAGACACAAGATGGAAGCTGTTCCAAACCAAGCTAACTTTCGCCATTGACTGATGGTGATTTTGTCAATGCCGATAGTGTTCAAGTATTGCTTCAGTTTTTGGGGGATTTATTATTATCATTTATAGAAGTCAACATGGGTTTGTTAAAAACAGATCATGCCAGGAAAACCTTATTGCGGTCTTTGACAAAGTGACTAAATTAGTGGATCAGGGAAATAATGTAGACATAGTTTACTTAGACTTCAGTAAGCATTTGACAAAGTAGACCACAACCCATTTCTATATAAAATAGAAAAATATCAGACATAGCATCATCACCAGATGGATTTACAGCTAGATAATCAACCATGCTCAACAATCCTCAATGGAGCTACATTTAAATGGAGGAATGCTGCATGTAGCATGCAGTGGAATATCCTAAGGTTCTGTCTTAGGCCCAGTATTCTTGCGACATTTTCATAAATTTAGATACGGTGATGTATAAATTTGCATACAACACCAAGCTGGAGAAAATGGCCAAACTTTAGAATATAAACTCAAGATGCAGAAGGATCTTGACAAGAGTTGAAAACTGGGCACAGTCCCAACAAAATGCAATTCACTGGTGAGAAAAGTTAGGTAAGAAAAACTAAATGCCCATGTATAGTATCTGGCTCAATAGCAGCAACTCCGAGGGAACTAGGTGTTTGAGTGGAAAACCACTTAAATATGAGCCAGCAATGTCCTGGGCTGTCCAAAATCCAAGGCAGTCTAGGCTGCATCAACAGAGGGATAATAGCAAGAACACAAGGCAATTGTAAGTGATGATTTTAGAAACAGTGCTAAAGGGAACTAAAGATTTCAAGCGGAAGAAAAATACAAGCCTGATATCAGTTAACACTGGGATTTACAGAATGATACAAACCACTAGTACCAGAAATATTAAAGATCATGAAGAATGTAACTAGAACCACAATATCAACACTGTCAGCAACAGTGTCAGCTTCTGTGAATGGATTATTTCTAAAAGATGTAAATTAAATAACATATAGAACAAATTTTATCTGACAAGATGAAGTATAGAACGTGATACTACCAATGTCCGGCCAAGAGAATGATTTTGGAAAGGATGCTTTGCTAGATATACAAAAGAAACTGGCTGCAGTTTTAAAAATTAAAAGAGAAATACAAATAATACACCAAGAAACATTTTATACCTGTAAAATGTTTTCATACTGGATCTATAAAAGAAGC